TGGTGATGATGATGATGGTGATGCTGATGTTGTCCATGATTATGATGAGATGATGATGGGGATGATGATGATGATGGTTGCGTCCCTATGCTGATAATGATGATGGTGCTGATGGTGCCCCGATGATGATGATGATGATGATGATGATGTTGGTGATGATGATGGTGACGTCGATGGTGCCCCGATGATGATGGTGATGATGATGGTGATACTGATGATGTTGATGATGGCGGTAAGGTGATGATGACGATGGTGTCCCGATGATGATGCTGATGATGGTGATGATGATAGTGATGACGTTGATGACGATGATGTTGATGATGATGACTTTGATTGTGAGATCGATTGCGTGATATCGATAGTGAGATCGATAGAGAGACCGAGTGTGAGATCGATTGTGAAATCGATAGTGAGATCGATCGTGAGATCGATTGCGAGATCGACCGTCAGATCGATTCTGAGATCGATCAAATGAACTAGACCGAGTGAGATCGATCGAGTGAGATCGATCGAGTGGGATCGATCGAGCGAGACCGATAGTGAGATCGATAGTGAGATCGATAGTGAGACCGATCGAGGGAGACGTTGGTTCCTCCCCCCTGAACCTCCTCTCCTTATCACCCGAAGGGTGGTCGTATAGCTAGAAATCTACATTTATAGATTTGGTGAAATATCGGAGGTGAGGGGTGAGGTCGAAGAGGAACGGAGATCGCCCCACCAGGGAATCGGTTTCGGGTTCGGGTTCGTGCCGTGCGTGCCGACGAGGCGATGCTGCGTGGGCTGGCGAGTGGAATGAACCCTCCTTTACCCCCTCCAGCCGCGTGGCGGGCGGGTGCCAGCGTTACCCCCTTCGTGGTGTCCCCACGGTGTCCCGTGGTGTCCCGCGGTGTCTCGATGGGTGTCTCGATGGTGTCCTGGTGGTGTGTCGATGGTTTCTTGCGGTGTCTCGCCGTGGTGTCCCGATGTTGTTCCGTGGTGTCCCGTGATGTCCCGTGGTGTCCCGCGGTGTCCCGCGGTGTTCCGTGGTATCTCTTGGTGTCCCGTGATGGTGTCCCATGGTGTCCCGTAATGTCTTGTTGTGTTGCCATGGTGTTTTGTTGGTGTCCCGTGGTGTCCCGCGTAGTCCCGCGGTGTCCCGCGGGGCCCCGTGGTGTCCGATGGTGTCCCGTGGTGTCCCTATACGACCATCCTTCGGGTGATAGGGAGGTCGGGGGGAAGGGAAAGAACTAATTGCTGGCAACTGCGATGGGTATGATCATGACGATGCTGGTGGCGCGCCCTCGAGTTGGCGACGATGGCATCGGGACACCACGGCGGGACACCATCGGGACGCCAGTGGAACAACATTGGACACGCCGGGACACCGCGGGACACCACGGGACACCAAGAGACACCATCGGGACACCACGGCGGAACACCGCGGGACACCATCGGGACAACACGGGAGACCACGGCGGGACACCGCGAGACACCACGGCGGGACACCCCCAGCCACCGCGCGCCCACCGGAGGGCCAGAATTTTGCATCCGAATCGTCCTAGCGACGGCGGGGTTATTCCTCTCGCGCGCCACGGCAAGACACCGCGGGACACCATCGGAACACCGCGAGGCACCACGGCGGGACACCCCCAGCCACCGCGCGCCCACCCAAGGGCCAGATTTTTGCATCCGAATCGCCCCAGCGACGGCGGGATCATTCTTCTCGCGCGCCCACGCAGCTTTGCCTCGCCCGCACGCACGACACGAACACGAAACCGGAACGGAGTTGCAGGTTGAGGGTTCTCCGTTCCTTGCGATCTCACCCCCAACCTCCGACAGATTGTGTGATCGATAGTGAGATCGATGATGGTGTCGATAGTGAGATCGATATTGTCATCAACCGTGAGATCTATAGTGAAGTTGATTACGATATCGATGGTGAGATCCATAGGTAGATCGATCGTGATACCGATCGTGATATCGATAGTGATATCGAATGTGAGATCGATAGTGAGATTCATAGTGATATTAATAGTGATATCGATCATGCTATCGATGGTGAATCGGGCGGGTGGTGATGAGGGGTGACCTGAATGTGGGGGTGGTAAAAGGACCTAAGGGGGCCCTTCAGAGCCACCTTTAGAGCCAGCTGGGGCCCTACAGGGCATGCTTTGGGCCCCCATGACCACACGCCCCAGTGAGATCGATCGTGAGATCGACAGATCGGTAGTGAGACCGATAGTGAGGTTGATTGTGAGGTCGATGGTGAGATCGATATTGAGATACATAGGCAATGAACTTCATCGTGACAGGGATAGTGAGATCGATTGTGAGGTCGATTGTGGGATCGGTTGTGAGGTCGATAGTTGGATCGATGATGAGATCGATAGTTAGTGAGACCGATACCGATAGTGTGCTCGATAGTGAGGTCGATCGCAATATTGATTATTAGATCGATAGTAAGATCAATAGTGAGATCGATGGTGAGATCGACAGTGTGATGGATAGTGGGATGGATGGTGAGATTGATCGTGCGATCGATAGTGTGATCAGTAGTGAGACCGATCATGTGATCGATCGTGCGATCGATAGTGAGATCGATAGTGGGATCGATGGTGAGTTGGGCGGGTGGTAATGGGGACTGCCTACTTTTGCAGGCAGCAGGGGCCCGACAAGGCCCCTCCAGGGCCCTTCTCTTCGCCCACTGTCGGGTCACCCCCTATGACCACCCGCCCCAGGAATATCGATAGTGAGACCGACAGTACGATCGATAGTGAGATCTATGGTGAGGTCGATAGTTACATTTATGTTGAGAGGGATCGTGCGATCGATTGCGAGATCGAAAGCGAGATCAATTGTGCGATCGATCGCGATATCGATCGTGAGATCGCTACTGAGATCGACCGTGAGGTCGATAGTGGGATAGCGAAATCAATTGAGTGAGACGTTGGTTTCCCCCTGGGCCTCCTTATCACCCCAAGGGTGGTTGTATGGGCGTATGTTTTGGAATTTATGTGGTGCAATAGTTGTTATACAACTATGCGGTGCAAACCACCTTGCCGAATTTGAAGTTGTCGACCCCACTGCTCGAGCAATCATCCCACCCATTCACCCGCAACTTGGTTTTCAAAACCCATGCGGGAGCGATTGCGATGAGTGCTTGACATTGGCTGGTGCATCTCTGCGGCCGCGCTAGCCCGCGCATGCTCTCGCGCGCAGCGGCGAGCTAGTTTGGCGCGACCTGCGTGTCCTTGGTAGCGCTGACCGCTTGGCATTTCCCAGCCGGCACTTCAGTGCGAATCGACGACTTGAGCGGGCGCGGTATCATGGATGGCACCGTCGACGACGGTAGGCACGATGAGGATAATAGTTATGTTCGTGACGATGCTGACAACGACGACGGCACGGCCAGTGACGGCGCGGATGCTGATCACGCCGACGACGATGCCGGCGTCTTCGCGTAGGTGTTGACGGTTTCAGAAAGAGTTCGACATGCGCGCGCGGCCGACATGCGAGAGTGACCGCATGGTATTATTTGACACGGATCGCGCCACCCCTCCCCCCAGCACGCGCGAAAGGGCGTTCGAATGTTTTCGGCATGCGGCGCGACAGGCCCGCTTGACAGAATTGATTGACGATGTTGAAAAACTGATGGTTGACGTAAGGATTCGCAGGAGCGCGCGCGCAAACTTTTTAAAATAACAAATAACGTTGCGAAACCATGAGTGTTTGTATTGTTTCGGGGCGCTCGGTGTTGAAACCGCTGCGAAACCCAAAGTTGTTGACTGATTTCGGCATGCGCGCGCGACGACGTGCGCGTGCGCACGACGTCCCATGTGTTGCAAAGGGTTCTTGCGACAGCACGCGCGGAACAAAGAAACGCGCGCACGATTTCGACATGCGCGCGCGAAGGCCTTTGGGTAGCATGTTACGACATGTGTTGGACATGTCTGGTTTTCTTACGAATTCGCAAGAGCGCGCGCGCAAATTTGTTTCGAAAATCCGTGTTGCGAAACCTTTGGTGTTCACTTGTTGTTTGGACACTCGATTTTGACATTTGCACGAAACCGAGAATTGTTGAAGGATGTCGGCATGCGCGCGCGACGACTCGCGCGTCTACACATCGTCATTTTTTCTGTTGCAAAGGATTCCTGGAGCCTCATGATTATCGATTAACGAATACGCGCGCATATGTTTTGTGTTTTTTGGCAGAGGACGGTGGTGATGGCGGATACGGGCTCGCTTGGACTGACATGATTTCATAGGTCAAATGAGCAAGGAGGCGGAAACACGTGTACATTACAACATTCGGTGCCGAAGTGATAACCCGGGGGGGAGGGGGATCGAATCTACTTGCTTTTAAGGGAGGAGAACGTATGTTTTGCAACCTACGTTGCGCGATGTATGTGGTGCGATCCATGTTGTGCACCCTACATGGTGAAATCTGTGTGGTGCAACTTTTGCGGCGCAGTCGATGCGGGGCGGCGACGAAGTGGCGACGGGGCGGCGAGGGCGACGGCATAGCCACCACACCGACGCGCAGGAGGCTCGGACGACGGGCGGCCACGATGTGGCGGTGTGGCGGCGACGGCGACGCGTTGCCGCCAGACCGACGCGTAGGCCCAGGCGACGAGCCGCGACGAGGCTGGGACTGGACGGCGACGGCGACGACATGGACACCCCACTCACGCGCAGGCTCAGTTCCCTTTGACAGCGAACTAAGAGCATGTAGATGCAAACGCTGCTTGGGGATCAAGGGCGGCACTCCACGAGTATTTCCCGACACGTCTTTTAGCTGACGTCCATGAAGACGTGCTGTACTAAGCGAGCGTGCTCTATCGAAGGAATTGGGGCCCGCTAGCAAAGTTGGGGGCCTAGCTCGGATGAGGCGATCGCAACCATGGCTAAGTTCACTCTCGGTCGTGGGACCTCGAGGCAGCAATTGTCGGCTCGAGGTGAAGCAGCGCCCCAATACGGATCGACCAGATTCTAAGGAGTAAGTGCTTCGGGCCGGCATCGACATGTCATTTCGCATGGCTCCTAATATGTCCGAGCTAAACGCCAAAATATTGGAGCGCTGCGAGGAAGAGGATGATGCTGGTATAAATTGGTCCGACAGCGACGTTTCGGAGAGCGAGCGTGCCAACTGTCTTGGCCAGTTGCGCGGATTGAAAGAAGTCTCGACGTCGCAGCGCATTTTGCCCCCAGTCCATGTCGTGTTGGCACTCGATACTAGCAAGAGCATGGAGCGTCGTGATGTCGACGGGGGATCCAGGTCTCAGGCCGTGCTCAAAGCTTGCCGCAAGTTTCTCGAAGAGCAGTCCGCCAGCCAGCACAAAGCCGAGGACAGGTATAGCTTGCTCGCGTTCAGCAGGGATGCCGTTGTGCACTTCAAGCGGCTCTCGCTTTCAGCATGCCGCGATCAATTGCTCCACTGCCCGGGGCCGAAGCTCAGGCTCGAGGCGCGTTTCTCTGCGGCGTTCAAGGGGATCATGGAGCTCATCCGAGAGGCCGGCGGCGAGAGCCCGTGCACCTCGCGGCGGCCCCAGTGCCATCTGTGTTGCGGTCCTGGGCCCGCGGTCAGACTAAACGGGTTCCCGGATGTCTGTCCTCGCGGGGGACTTGGATTTGTGAGGCTCGGTTTGATCATTTTTTATCCGTAAGGGCTTCGCCCCCTGCCGCCGGCCCCCTCTCTCGGAGAATGGGCCATGGAAGAGCTAAGTCATGAGGCTTTGGCGCTGTCGTGCAGCAGTATCGGAACTTCATGCGAGGCCGAGTCGCAATCGGCAAAACCAACTGATCACAAGAGGGTTACCACACAGGGCGATTGGTAAGACGTGTATGGTTTACGAGCTTGGTTACCACACCTTGGGATTAAAGGGCCGAGGGAGTACTCGCAGTTTGGGTTACCACGCCTTGCGATGGATGTGCGTGAGGGGTGGCACCGAATTTCAGAAATGTGGCAAATCCCCTGTGTTTTTGGACCCTGACCCCGCGGATCTGCGTGAGGGGTGGCACCGAATTTCAGAAATGTGGCAAATCCCTTGTGTTTTTGGACCCTGATCCCGCGGATCTGCGTGAGGGGTGGCACCGAATTTCAGAAATGTGGCAAATCCCATGTGTTTTTGGACCCTGACCCCGCGGATCTGCGTGAGGGGTGGCACCGAATTTCAGAAATGTCGCAAATCCCTTGTGTTTTTGGACCCTGACCCCGCGGATCTGCGTGAGGGGTGGCACCGAATTTCAGAAATGTGGCAAATCCCCTTTGTTTTTGGACCCTAACCCCGCGGATCTGCGTGAGGGGTGGCACCGAATTTCAGAAATGTAGCAAATCCCTTGTGTTTTTGGACCCTGACCCCGCGGATCTGCGTGAGGGGTGGCACCGAATTTCAGAAATGTGGCAAATCCCTTGTGTTTTTGGACCCTGACCCCGCAGATCTGCGTGAGGGGTGGCACCGATTTCAGAATGTGGCAAATCCCATGTGTTTTTGGACCCTGACCCCGCGGATCTGCGTGAGGGGTGTCGATTTCGAGCCCCCCCAGCAATTCAGACAACGCGCCCAGGGGGTGCTAAAAAATTTGGTTTGGGCCTCCCTCCCCTCGCGCGGTCAATCAACTAGTTACAGTAACCAGCAAGAAGCAGAACTGTAACACTGGAAACTACAAACTACAAATGGTACAGGAAACTGCGAATCACGGGCCTACAGCCTGGTGGCCCCACAAGGGGGCCGGCGGATTTGATGTGCGAAGCATTCCCGTCATCCGTTTGATGCTAAGTTGCTTCGCTCGGCGTGATCTTCTTCGGAGATGTCTGTACCTTTTTTAGTCCTCGGTTTGAAAGCTCAACGAGCTCAAAACACCCCCTGGGCGGGCCCTGGGGTCCAGTCGCGGGGCCAGGACCCGTGGCCGAGGAGGAGGAGGAGGAGGAGGGCGAGGAGGAGGAGGAGGAGGAGGAGGAGGAGGAGGAGGGTGGAGGAGGAGGAGGAGTGACCAGGCCAGGGACCCGCGAGGTCTGCAGGCCTCCTCGCCGCAAGAGGGCCAAGACTCATTGGAGTCGGCGGGCGCTCCAGAGGACCAGGGGGACAGGCACGGGGGGACATCTTCAAGGGGACTCTATACACTACTCCATCCCCCCTGTCCCCCCTGTCGCCGCCACTGTTGCTGTCGCCGTCGCCCGTGTCGGTGGCCCTGACGAGGGGGTGACGGCGGCAGTGGCAGTGCCGAAACGCGTCCAGAGCCCAGCAAGGCATGAAAGTGCAAACCCGATTTGCCTGGCTGATGCTCTGCGGGGGGGCCTGTGCTCACGGGAGGCTGCAGCACCGCTCAACGATGTGTTGACAAACAAACTTGCAGGAGGGTCCAATTCCATTGTTCTGTGCATTTCAGCTTTGGCTTCGGCTTCAGCTGCCGATCCACCGTAAAGCGCCTCTGGGCCAGCTCACCCGACTCGGATTTTCCGCTCGCACGGGTGTTCACCCCTTCGTCCTTTTTTCCCTTCCCCGTCCTTCCTTCTTCCACTTTACCGACGAGTCGGGGGTAGGGAGGGGAATGGTCAGAGTGGCGGGGGCCGAACGGTCATTCGTTGTCCTTGGGTGCGTGGCTGAAGTGTGGATCCGTGGTGAGGATTCTGCTTGTTGTGTTGTTGTTGGTGTTGTTGCTGTTGTCCTTGTTGTTTTTGAATGCTAATTACTGAACAGTTATTCTTATCGGACCCCCCCCAGGCGCCTTGGTGCTCTCGCCTCGGCGCTGGCTACATTTTCATTGAAAATGAGGCTCACGCTCGAGCGGTTTGCGGGGGCGCCAAAACCAACCCTCCAATAACAACAACGCTCCCGCTCGAGCCTTCCTCCTTTTTTACTCAGGCCCGGTGGTCTTGCTCGCCGCCGAAAGCCGCCGTCTCAACAAAAGCAGCGCTCCCGCTCGAGACTTCCTCCCGCTTTACCTTGGACTGGCGCGCTACTCTTTCTCTCATCGGCGCCGCCCCCATCAACAACAACGCTCCCGGTCGAGACCTCCCTTTTTTACACAAGGCGGTGCTCCTCCTCGCCGCCGAAAACCACCGTCCCGACAAAACCAGCGCTTCCGCCGGAGACTTCCTCCCGTTTTACGCTGGACTGGCGCCCTATTCTCGTTTGAATTGGCGCCGCTCCCAGCAACAATAACGCTCCCGCTCGAGGATTCCTCAATTTTTCCTCAGGGCGGTGCTGTTCCTCGCCGCCGACAGCCCCCGTCCCGACAAAACCACGGCTCCCGCTCGAGACTTCCCCCCTTCTTACTCAAGGCGGTGTTCCTCCTCGCCGCCAACAACCGCCGTCGCGACAAAACCAGCGTTCCCGCTCGAGACTTCGATATGTTTTACGCTGGACTAGCGCCCTACTCTCTTCTGCATTGGCGCCGCTCCCAGCAACAACAGCGGCCCTGCTCGAGACGTCCTCCCTTTCTATGCAGGGCCAGGTCCTTGCCTCGCCGCCGACAGCCCCCATCCCCACCAAGGCAATCCTGTCGCTCGATACTTCCTTGTGCTTCACCCTTGGCTGGGGCTCCACTGGCGGTCTCGCATCTGCGCAGCAAGGCGCGGGCATGTGTTTTCGATGAGGGATATGCTGAACGTCCTCGGAGGAGGTGTTTGCAAGACCTCATTGGGCGGGAGATCTGGGAATGGGAATAACAACGGACCCCGCTGTAAAACAAGAGTCCCCCATGATGGCGATGGTTATCATGCTGGTCGCATGCTTCGTGTGGAAACATCGCGCATGAGGGTACAATGATTGTTGTTGTTGTTGATGTTGTTGTTGGTGTTGTTGTTGTTCTTGTTGTTGTTGGTGGTGGTGGTGGTGGTGTTGTTGTTGTTTGTTGTCGTCGTCCCCCCCGCGACCCACCCCGCGACCCACCCCGCGACCCGCGACCCAACCCGCGACCCACCCGCGACCCACCCCGCGACCCACCCGCGAACCACCGCGACCCACCCGCGACCCACCCCGCGACCCACCCGCGACCCACCCCGCGACCCATCCGCGACCCCACCCTGATCCACCCGCGACCCACTTGCGACCACCCGCGACCCCCCCCGCGACCCACCCGCGACTCACCCGCGACCGATCCACATTGATTTGAAGAAAAAATCTGCGTTTGCGGCGGGCTCGTTGTATAAATTGTGGAACTTTGGTGCTTGCGGCAGGCTTCTCCAGAGTCGCAAATTGCCGACGTCCCCACCGCCCCCTCACTCTTATCCGCATTTGCGGGGTGCTACGTATAGGGTAGAGTGTCCCAGGATACGCCCCGAATCGCAAATTGATCGCCGATTGGGGCCTAGATGTTTCACCTTGCGTTGGGAAATAACATTCAATCGGAATGTTTCGGGGATCAATCGGCAATGCATTATTTACTCGCGGGCGATTCCTCCCCCCAATTGGGCGTGTCCCAGCTTTTTCCCCCATTCACAGGACGTGCAGGTCGTCATGTGCTCGGGCGGCCAGTCTGTGGAGCCCGCAGGGTCAGTCGAGAACCTCCTGGAGGTCGGTCTTCTCGCGCACCCTTGTGTTCAGAACCTGCGGGGGTTCGCAGTCCACACCGTTGGCTTCGGATCTGGCAATCGGAAGCTTCGTTTGTTCCCGGGCGGCTACTGTCAAGGCCTTGAGATTTCCGAAACTGGCATCGTGACTCAGCTGTCCCAGAACGCGCAAAATCTTGGCCTCAATATCTAGTTGCCTCCGGCAATCCCGCCACCGTGCCAGCGCAGCATTCTGGGCGGCAGTTGTTCGAGAAGGCAACTACTCAAGAAGGCAAGGGGATATCGGATGACCATCGCATGTGATACCTGTCATCTGCATTTCTCGACCGGCCACATGGACCTGACTTGGGCCGTCTTGGGGCTGTTCTGCGCTCCTGAAAGGCAGTCTTGGAGCTTCCATTGAGCCTTCTTGGGTCGTCTTGGGGCCCTCGTGGGTCGTCTGGCGGCTCTGTTGGGGCATTCGTGACCGTCTAAGGTGTGTCTCTTTGGGGCCGTCGTGGGGCCGTCTGAGAGCGTCCGGGGATTTCTCTTAGGCTGTCTTGTGTCCCCCAGGAGGCCATTCAGGTCCAGCTTCAAACCTTCGTGGGTCCGTCCCGGGCTCTCCAGGGACCCTCTTGGGTTGTCCTGAGGCCGTCTTGAAGGCCTCTTGGGCTATTTTGAGGCCCTCTTGGGCCGTCGTGGGGCCAGCGCCGATCTTGGGCACGTTTTGAGCCCACGGAAGCTCGAAAAAGCGAGAACGCGAAACTCTTTGAACAACCCAAAGGGGAAATATGGTTATGTCACTTGCCAGCCTTGCTGGAGGGACGTTTTCGAGCTCTTGGGCACTCTTGGAGGTCTGTTGGGCGGTCCTGAGGCTAACTATCCTTGGCCATCGTTGTGCCGTCTTCGGCCGTCTTGGAGCTATGTTTGGCAGCTTGCACGCGCGGGAGAGCGCCAAGGAGGTGTGGTCTTTGGAAACAATTCAGAAACCCTGCCAGGCAGCACTTGGAATTCCACCACGCCTCAATGTGCCGAGGGGCACGGTGGCGGATAGGCGCAAGAGTGATTCGATTAGACGGTGCCACGTTCAGTTTGGAGATGTTCAAAAAGAAGATGGTTGGCGACAAGCAGTTCACGATATCTGTTGAAGCGGCCGATGAGGTGCAGGGGTGCTTGCAGCCCCTGTCGAAAAAAACAGGCGGGCAGTATCAGGTGGCCACATTGAGTGTCGAAGGCATCGGTCGTGCATTTTCTTCAGTTGGTGCATCGATCACTGCTACACGTGTATCGGGCGGAATGCTACACCCGCCGCGTACAGCATTGGACAATAGATTCGATCCGTCCACTGGGCAGGACGATTGCGCCAGAATATGTACCATTTCAGCTGTTCGGACAAGCGGTATCAGGAAGAAACGGTGGGGCAACGATCGACTCATCGTGAAATGCCTCGGTGCACGATGCAACATAGGTCAGAAGTGTTTCGCCGAAGGTGCAATGCGTTTCGTCTACCGTCTGTCTGACCAGTCCAGCCTGAACGAAGACTAGGACATGGTCGCAAAACGCCTTCAAAGGAAAGAGCATGCGACTAAGGAGGACATGCTCCCTTTCTGCAGGAGCACGGTGATGGCAGTTTCGTTTCGCGACAGTTTCATGGCGGCCTTGAGGAAGCGCGGAGATCCATTGCATTGGAAGCTGAATTTCGTGCCCTGTTACTTGTACGAGTACGAACATGCCGGCAGCACTTGCTATTTCGTTGGGGAGCAGAAGTTGGACGGTGATTTCATCAAGTTCAACAACAACGCCGGCTGGAAGAATGAAGACCCAAAGTACAGCGGCATCAGCGAGTTCATGCAGGCTTTCAGTCATTTCACGTTCATCCAGAGTGGATCTCTTTACATGGTCGTGGACTTGCAGGGGACCGTTGACAGCGGCACCCTCCTTCTGACAGATCCACAGGTTATCTCCCAAAAGAAGGCTGGGGAGAAGAGCCCGTTTGGACATGGCGACTTGGGGCCAGTTGGGTTCAAGTACTTCATGAGCAACCATTCGTGTGGCCCTACTTGTAGGCTGTTGCAGCTGCAGCAGGGCTTCGACAGCCTGCTCCTGTCCCTCGACCCCGGGAGCTTGCGTCGAGCCGAGCGCCGGAGCTAAGCTGCTGGAAGCACCCCTTGACCCAGCATCTTAACCTTCGCTGAGGGGGGAATCTCGAGGATTCTGTTGAAGGGGGGCTTCAGATGCGGGGGGTGAAGAAATCAGTTCCCTCTAACAGGCAGCCAAGTCTTTGGACCACCTACCCCGCCAAACGCTGCTTTTGGAGAGGGCGGCGATCTCCATGGGCGACTTCCTGAGCCCTCTTATCCCCATCAGAGTCCGCGAGAATTGGGCATGGAAGTGGAGGGTGGGGTGGGGAAGGCGTGGTAGGGTATCGGGGGATGTTTCCAGCCGCTCAGGAGCGGGCCTGGCGGAGTGATCCGGCCCCTCCAGAGTGCCTCGGCCACGGTGCACCGTCAGCGGGGGGGCACTTGCTACGCAAATGCCGTGGCGACGATTGTGCGGGCAGCGGAGAGCCGCATTATCGGCCGCCGAGTATGTCCGCACAGCAGCATGGTAGACGAAATCGTCAAAGTACATGGCTCCAGCGGCGGGGATCCCGAGCGGGTCCTTCGGCTTCTCTGCCCTGGCAAATGCTTGCGGTTTCGCAAGCTTGACGTCGAGGGCATGTTGGAGTGCATCAAGAACGATCGCCCTGTGCTGTGGAGTTTCTGGCTCTGTGATGCCGAATGGGACGAATTCTCTGCCTTTTTCAGACGATCGCCTCGCGGAGTCTTGTCAAGGCTGTTCAAGAGCGAGCTGCGGGTAGGTTCCAGTCGAATCGGGCACGCTTGCGTTATTGAAAGCTGTCAGGGGCGCGATTTGCAGTGTAAGAACTCTTGGGGTAGCAATTTTGCAGCCGACGGCAGGTTTCACGTGGATGTTGCTTTGGTTTCGTCTCCGATGCTCGCATCAACTTTCATTGACGTTTACTACCTAGAGGCAGACTTGCGGGACGAAGATCGCGCAGCCTATGAGCGAGCGCAGCGCTGGCTTCTCAATGGGTTGCGCTGATCTGACACGCGCAACAATGCTCGGCCTCTGCATGACCAGATGCATACTATGACATTTATATAGTGTTGTCTCTCTCTCTCTCTCTCTTTCTCTCTTTCTTTCTTTCTCTGTCTCCCTATACCTACCTACCTATTGGTTCCTATTTCCGCTTCTCACATGCCGTCTCTATTAGTCTATCGTACGCGTCGCGTTCACTTGAGTAGCACGTAAGGGCTTCTTTGATGGCGCTGGCCACTAGACGTCCATTTTCATTGTGCTGCACTTGTGCTGGGCGACTATTTGCTTTTGCCTCGTGGAAGACCCCCCAGCGGACGTGTTTGTTTCACACTGGACACGGTGGATGATAAAAAGATGTTTGCAAGAGCGGGGGTCGTTGTCTTCCATCCTTCTTTCGGCCACGACGACAAGGAAAAATGCTCCATGGCCGCGGACCCAACGCTGGCTCGACCGCCTCATCCCCCCCGCAATCCTGGAGCCCGCACGCGTCACGTGCCCACCAGGGACTCGTAGCTTGGGAGGGTGGCTCAGCAGACCGTCGGTGCGGTTTTGGTTGAAGAACCATCGTCCCCATGATCCGCTTTCAAACACTAGTGGCCCATAGCCTCGGCATTTGCGGACGAGAGTGATGGGACGGCGGGTTCGCCGGCAGTTTGCGAGGCTCGAAAGCAGATCAGAAGAAGCCCACTTCGGGCGCATTTAATACCACATTCCACAACGAGCCCGCCGCAGGAGCCGAATCTGTTTCAACGCAGCGTGGGTGGGTCGCTCGTGGGACGCGGGTGCTCGCGGGACGGGTCGGTCTCGGGGCGGGGTGTGGCCGACAAGCCGCATCGCGGAACCCCACAGCCACACGCCCAGGGACCGTGTAAGACCGCTCGGCCACTTCCCTTGGATAAACGGGCGTTTGTTCTTCCCGGCGGGTGGAGGGGACGGCAGCGGGGACACGAGAGAGGGGCGGGGCAGCCCGCGCAGCCGCGCCGATTCGCCGCCCCGCAGCGGCATCGAGCACGACGAAGCTTGGGAGTTCTGGGAGACGACGTACCGCAACTTTGCCTGGAGCAGTTGCCTTGTTTTCGAGTGCGAAGATCGGCATCAACATACAGTTCGGAGGTCGGTGGTCGTCCGACAGCTCATGATTGTGCGGATGTTTCTTCTTCTCTTACCTGCGGCGCGCGCCAGGCGGGGCGGCACATAATGCATTCGAGGAAGCACCTCGCCTTCTGCTCGTCGCGCCCTCGCGGGGAGCCAGCGGAAGTAAATCATGGGTGAGTCCGCCAGCTTTTTCTTCTTCTATACATACGGCGCGCGCCAGGTGGGGCGGCACAGGGGGCGTTCTGGGACAGGCCTCGCCATCGGCTCGTCTCGCCTTGGCGGGAAGCCGGCGGAAGCCAGCTGATGTTGGGTGCACATGTCGCAGCCTGCCTGGGTAAGAATTGCGCGGGCATGATGTGGTCAGATGCCTTTGACGCATCCGGCTTTTCTATGGCCGTGAAGGCCACTTCTGCACGTGTATCCAGAGCGGGGCCTCCCGATATCTCACACGTGAATCCAGTCATACGTGTTTCCAGCTCCAGGGCAATCGGATGACGCATTTCGCTACGCATCCGATCCATATGAGCTTCGTGGAAACCAGAATTCACAACACAGCCACGCAGCGACATGCATGACCGCGCAGCGCCGCTGAAAATCCATTGGGCATCGTTGAGCGCCTCTGCGAGCTGCTGTTTCCCAAGTCGTGTCCCTCAGGCCCCTACGTACAGTCAACCCGCACAGGAAGGATGAGCCACTTTCCAAGGTTACCCTTGCATCCTTCCCCTCTGGCCCATGATTGGCCGCTTTCGCTGGTCGCACCACGCCTGCAAAGTGTCGACGTGGCCTTCCAATGCCCTTGCATCCTTATCGTGCGTCCTTCACGGTTTGACTGTATTCCCGATGCGTCCGGCACGCAAGCTACCAGGCCATGCCAAGTCATGCCGAACTCCGTCCGATTTGGCCTTCATTCATCCCTGCCGTCTGGCGGCCTTTCCGTGCGGGCCTGCAGCGGGCAGGTCGACTGAGAGTGGGGAACGTTCCTTATCCCCGTGCAGTGCATACTCGCACTCTTCGATGTCGATGCATATTCGTTGATTCGACGTCGTCACCTGTAGAGATTCTTTGATATTTCAGGGGCCTCCTTCAGACCCGAGGTCCCTGGGAGCCCCACCAGCTGCTGCCGCTTCGCTGGTGTTCAGGCTCAGAGGGTTTCGAGCGCGGAGGCCCGCCCGCGCTCCCGAGGAGGAGAAAACATGGTAGCGGAGCCGTGAGCTGCTCCACGAGAGCGGTCCACGGCTTGGCTCTGCTGTGGCATCAGGGCGTCGGCCGCGGGCTGAGCCCGCGGTGGTGATCGACCACGACGAAGGCGTGAGGGTGGACAGCTCCGCCAAGACGGGTCTCGCGATGGCGAGTACGACAACGCAGAACGGGACGTACCAGATCTGGTCGCTGAAGGACATCCGAAGCCATGAGAGCTTCAATGGCGGCCAGGATGAGTTCGAGAGTTTTTTTTTCACGTTGGAGGCAGAGGTGGCTGAGATGGGGCGGGAGTCACTCTATGACGTTGCGGTGGGCCACGCGGGTCCGATAGCTGCAGATGACATCCAGAAAGCGGAGGCGCTGGAGTTGAGCAGGAACTTGAGCACGTTCCTGGCGATGAGCATGCGCGGGAAAGCGCAGACGATGACTATGTTGGCTGGTGCTGGCAATGGGTTCGAGGCTCTTCGGCAGATCTATGCTGACTACCGCCCGAGCGGCGGGCTTTCGGAGCACAGCCTGCTGACGACGATCGTGCAGCCGAAGTGGCGGACGAGTGATGATCACTCGAGACGAAGCTTCTTGGAGGTGCTGCACGACTGGGATCATCTCGTCACGCAGTATGAGTTGGCGAGCCACGACACGATCAACGACAGGCTCAAGTGTGCGACCATATTGGGCTATGCGCCGCTGCCGGTCAGGAAGGTGCTCGACGGAGCCAGCCAGGAGGTCAGGGAGAACTACGCGGTGATGCGGGCAAGGATTCGTGAGCACTACATGGAGAGAAATGCCAAGGCTTTCGTCCCCAGGCCACCTGAGGCGGGAGGAGGAGGCCAGGCGCCGATGCAGGTGGATGCGGTCGGCCAGGTTGACGCGATCGGGTTCGACAAGCCGCGCTGCAATCTCTGCACGAAGCTCGGCCACACGGCCGACGAGTGCTGGTTTAAGGGCAAAGGCGGCGCCAAGGGCGACCCCAAGGGTGGCAAGGGCGATGGTGGCAAGGGCGGATCGAAGGGCGGACGCGGCGGCAACGCGCCGTCGAGTGACAAAGACAAGACATGCCACTACTGCAAGAAGAAAGGCCACATCAAGATCAACTGCTTCAGGTTCAAGAAAGATCAGGAGGACAGGAAGAAGGGTACTGTCAGCATCGTCGAGAAGGAGGCCGCCGAGGTCAACGTGATGGTCGTGCCCAGCGAAGACGACTCTGACGAGTGCGGCTTCTGCATGGCGCTGGAGAGCGACTACGTCGACCGCGACTCAGACGGGCACCAGGTGGACTACGTCGACCACGAGTCGAACGGGCACCAGGTGGGCTACGACGGCTACGAGAGCGTCGGAGACCAGCTGGAGGACGAGTTCGCGTGCCACGCCTGCGACGACGCGATCATCATGGCCATCGGCGACGGGGCCAAGCTCAAGGAGTACGACGTTGACGACTTTCTGATGCTGGATGGTGGCGCTGACGAGCACTGTGCACGACGAAGCTTTGCGAGACATAGCGCAGTGGAGCCTGCGTCGACCAAGCTGATCGCCGCCCAGAAGCAGAAGGTCTCTCTTGATGGTGAGGCCATGGTTCCCTTCACGATGGGGGGTGGACTGGTTTGCAAGGCCAACTTCAAGGTCGGCCCCTTCGCTCGGAACCTACTCAGCACTGGCAGAGTCTATGATGCAGGTTTTGACGTGGTCTACTCGCACAATGACGGGTGCTACGTTGGTTACTCCACGCCTGACGGGAGGTATGTGAAGATCCCGATGGTGCGGAGAAAGCACACGTTCGGGGCCCCTGCCAGCGTGCACAAGGACCTCGAGGACGCCAAGGATGTGGTCAAGGAGACCAAGCGGTTGCTAGGCCGCTATCCCGATCAGCAGTCGGGCATCGTCGCCGCCAACGAGGACGCGGTGATGAAGGACGAGGGCGAGGGGGCCGTCCAGACTGATGAAGCTGCAGCGCCTGCGCCCATGGCAGAGGGTGCTGGGTCGGCTTCGTCGGGGTCTGGAGGTGGCACCCCCGCTTCAGCCCCGCCGGCGGCAGCCGGTCCGCCTGGGGACCAGCCAGGGCCAGGGGCGCCCCCCCGCCCTGTGAGGGACCCTGAGGGAGCAGAGCTCGGGCCAGGTTCTCGAGTCGACCTGCCCCGACAGCGCTTGAAGGAGCTCGGGGCCGCGATCTACGGCGCGAAGGAGCAGATGTGGACGAGGCTCAAGCATGCAAGCTCAAGCACAAGCAGGACTTGGACTTCAAGAAGGCGGTCGAGGAGCGTCGCCAACAGCAAGTGGGCGCCCAGCCTGTGACAGAGGCCAAGGTCGTCGAGGCTCGCTATGCTCCAACGGAGGTTGAAAAGGAGCAACGCGAGGCTGCTGGTCACGCGGTGTTCAAGAAGTGGTGCCCTGCGTGCGTGTTCGGACTGGGACCTGAGGACCCGCGCGTCAAGCAGCCCGTGTACGGCAGCAATGTCATAGAGGAGCTGATTTTCTTCGACTGGGCCTTCAACGGCACTAAGGACACGGACAATCTCTGCGACGAGGCCGACAAGGGTCTCGGGACATCTTGTGGCTGCAGATCGCAGCACTGGTCTGCTCTACGGCAACGCGCTGGGGAGCAAGGCCGCAGACGATCACACCGCGAAGCAGCTCATGAGGTTCATGGAGCAGCTCGCGTACCAGAAGCCAGAGCTCAGGTGCGACGCGGAGCCTGCGGTGAAGGCTCTCCAGGATAAGGTCGTGAACGCGAGGAACGAGGAGAACCTGGAGACCAGAGTTTCGCAGGGTCGCACGCGGGACAGCAGGTCGATGGGCTTCGTCGAGACGCGGATCCTCTGGTGGCGAGGCCGCCTGAAGGCCATCAGGGCGCAGGTGAAGCTCACGCCGCACTCCCCGCTCTGGCCGTTCCTCGCCCACCATGCTGCAAACGTGACGAACTGGCACTCGCGAGGTGCTGACGGCTATACGGCTCACTTCGCGGTCTACGGCGTGAATTACATTGGAGCAGTGGTTCCCTTTGCTGAGACGGGGATGGCAAGGGTTCCAGTCAGCAAGACGGGCCAGCGACGTCCGATGGGAGGTTTGGCCCCCAGGCTGACCAAGGCGGACACTGCCTGGGTCAAGGGGATCTGGGTCGGCAAGACGACCAACAACGACGAGCGCATCATCCTGGCGATTGCTGGCAAGGTGACCTGCAGGGCCGCCCGCAGGATGCCCAAGGGGAAGCGCCACGACAAGGAGCTCCTCCTGAAGGTCTGCAGCGAGCCCTGGAGGGAGAAGGTCGCGCACATGCCTCGGTCCCTCGTCATGGACGGCGGCAGGGGCGAGGTCGCGCCGACGCCGCTGGAGGCCGCGGGCACGGAGGCCGAGGGGGCAGCTCCAGGAGCTCCCCCGTCTGGGGCAGAGGGCCAGGAGGGCTCAGCCCGTCCTGGTCCCGAGGGTCCTGAGTTGGGGGCGAACCCTCCAGACCCCGAGGCCTCAGCTGAGCGCCCACCAGACTCACGCCCTCAGGCCCCGGAGGCACAGGCTCCAGAGGCCCCGCCGAGACCTGGCGGAGAGGCGGAAAGCTCTGCCGGAGCTGGCGGAAGCTCGGGGAGTGGACCAGGAGGCCCCGAGGGGGCTGGTGCCAGTGGTGAGCCAGACGCCCCGACGCCTGCTGCTGCGAGCTCCTCGGGTACGGCAACCAGAGCGAGATCACCGAACAACGATGCCGTCCTGGGGTGGCACGAGGCCAAGAGGGGGCGCTACGAGGGCCTGATCGTCGGGGCCATCGAGGACATCAGCGAGGCGCTGGACTACAAGGCCCTCCTGACGGCCAAGGAGCTCACGCACTGGGACAGCAGCGGCTTCCCCCGGGAGGAGGCGGCTGAGGCGCTCGATAAGGGCTTAGAGCTCTGCGGTGAGTTCGGCATCTACTCAGTTCATCCTCGAGCGGCCTCCGGCGGCAAGAAGAAGGTTGATACCAAGTGGGAGAAGCAGGACCGAGCTGGGGTTCTTAATTACAGGTTGGTGGGCAGGGAGTTTGCCTGGCTCGAGGAGCATGATGATCTTCGCTCCTGGGCCGACGTCCCTGACCAGCCGCATCATTGACTTCCTCAGCCAGAAGGGCGATGATGATCCAGATGATCGGCTGGTGGTTGCGGTTGGCGACGTCTCGAGTGCGTACTACCAGGTTCCTGAGAAGGAGGAGTTCTACTGCGACCCGCCACCTGAGTGGCTAGCTGCAAGGGCCAAGGCTGGCCTTAGCTCGGACGTGGTCTGGAAGCTCGAGAAGCAGCTGCCTGGCAGGAGAGCTGCGAGCAGGGAGTGGATCAGCTTCGCGGCTGAGCGCCTCCTGGAGCGAGGCTTCGAGCGCAACGAGGCCTGCCCGCAGTTCTACCGCGAGCCGATGACGCGGCTGGGCCTGGAGCTGCACGTGGACGGCTTCTATTGCACGGGCCGCAAGAGCGAGGTCGAGAGCTTCCTTCCGATGATCAGGGCCAAGCTGAAGTTGCAGGACGGCGACGTCGTCACCGAGGGCCTCTTTGAGTACCTCAAGCGGACGAGGATCAAGACGGACGAGGGCATTTTCGCGCAGCCTCACGAGAAGCACGCCCTCAACATTATCACAGAGCTAGGGCTGAAGGGCGCGAGCCCAGTCAAGACTCCAGACTTGGGGTCGGAAGAGGTCCTGGAGCACTCCCCGCCACTCGTCGACAAGCAGATCGCGAGGTATCGTTCGCGCGTGGGGAGTGGCCTCTACCTGGCGCAAGATCGCACCGACATCCAGAGGGCCGTGGGGATGCTGGCATCTGATCTGGCGGCGCCTACGGAGCTTTCTTGGAAAAGGCTGCTTCGCCTTGGGCGCTACTTGGTTGGGACATCCGACCTGGGCGCGTTCATCCCCAAGGTTGACATGAGGATCTACAAGAAGGGCGTGGTCCACTTGAGGAGTTTCTCCGACAGTGACCACGGAGGCAAGGAGGCGAAGCGCAAGAGCACGACCTGTGGGGTTCTTTATGCGGATGGTGTGGTGTTGGCGACGCTAGTCAGGAGGCAGGATTTGATTGCAGTGAGTTCTGGAGAGAGCGAGTTCTACGCGCTGAGCACTGTGGCCATGGACGGCAAGATGCTCAGGGATCTGCTCACATGGTTCGGGTTTCGTGGTGAGTGGACCTTGGAGACGGACTCTTCAGCAGCTCGCGCGATGTCCTTGAGGCGGGGCGTCGGGAAGGTCCGCCACCTGGGCACGCGAGCACCCTGGGTCCAGCAGGCCACGCGCATGTCTGGGCTGACGGCGCCGAAGTGCAAGGGTACCGAGAATCCCAGTGACATTGGGACGAAGCCACACACGTCCGAGGTTCATGAGCAGCTCTGCAAGCAAGTGGGACTACGCCGACTCAACGGAGATTTGGGAGCTGTTCGTGAGGTCGAGGTGAACGCTGTGATCGAGAAGCTGGGGCGGGCAGCTCGTGGCACGCAGTATGGTAGGAGGATCGCGAGCAGCCCGGGCCTCAACACAGCGATCCTGGCCTTGTGTATGGCCCTGCAAGCTCAACGAGGAGAAGGAGTTCAAGATGGATGTGGTGCTGGAGGCGCTGATGACGACAACCGCGATTTCATGATCGTGCCCGTGATGCTGCTGCTCAGCTTGGTTTTCACCTTTGCGCTGGGCTTCCTGACGGCAATCTGGGCACTGTGGGGACGCATTGCCCCTGCGCCTCAGGCGCCCAGGGCGAGCTCCTCATCAGGAGGAGAATGCGACCCAGAGGTCATGACGAAGATGATGAACGGGAGCTGGGTATTCCACCTGTCTGAGACTGACAGGGTGGTGCACCAGAGCAGGCGATGCCGAGCTCTCGAGGGAGTTCTCTACGTGGAGCGGCGCCTGGTGGCGCGCCGCAGGTGCGAGGTGTGCTTCGCGAAGAAGCATGAGTGAGTGAGCCTTGAGCCCTCGCCTGTGCGGCCGCTCGCGGTCAGCGCGAGCTTGCCCGCTGCCAGGACTGCTCGCGGGTCTTCGCGAGCGGCATGAGGTCGGAGAAGGACTGACCGCATCGTTTTGAGGATGAAGAGAGGAGTCCCCTGCGAGGGGGCGTAGAGATTCTTTGATATTTCAGGGGCCTCCTTCAGACCCGAGGTCCTTGGGAGCCCCACCAGCTGCTGCCGTTCCGCTGGTGTTCAGGCTCAGAGAGTTTCGAGCGCGGAGGCCCGCCCGCGCTCCCGAGGAGGAGAACACATCACCCCTTCACCCCTCCCTTTGTAAGTTGTCATCCTACTTCTCCTCGCTCTGCACGTGCGAGCGACCATTCGCGGTGTTCCTGCGCGCGCCTCCTCCTCCTCCTCCTCCTCCTCTTCCTCCTCCTCCTCCTCCTCCTCCTCCTCCTCCTCCTCCTCCTCCTCCTCCTCCTCCTCCTCCTCCCCGTAGCCATTTTGGCTCAAGGCCGTTCCGTGGGCCCCCCGCTCCTTGACCTTGTCCCCAGGCGTACCCTGCGACCCCAACCCATCGGGGCAACACGGCGGGCGTTGGGGGCTTGGGGGAGCGGGGCCTTGGGCTCTCGGAGCACTGGTATGTGCTACGGGGGGTCGGCCGCAGGCACGGCTGGCCGAGGCGCCTCATCAGCGGCGCCCCCACTGGATACGGCGTGCGGGTCAACGCTGGGCCGCGCTGTCCCGTGAGAGGCTCGCCCAGCGGCAGGCGGCTCGGCTACTGGAGCTGGAGTCCCTGGCCGACGCGCCGCCCGAGGTGTGCAGGAGGCTGGCGCTCATAGCGCCCGTCCTGACGGCGCAGCTGCAGGCAACGAAGCTTGAGCGGTTGGACATCCTCAAGCGCAACGTGGGCTGCCACGCGCTCAGCCTTCCGAAGGCGGGCTCCGGTTCCGCGGCTTGGCGGCGTGCGCAGCGAGGCCCGCGCCTCCTGGCCCTTGGAGCGGCTCGCGCTGGTGCGGGTGCTGTGGCCGCCGCTGGCACCGCAGTCGCGGGCTCGGCCTTGCGTGCGGATGCCGCTCCCTTCTTCCCCGTGCCGTCTGCGGACCTGCAGCTGGCGGGCCACTTCGGCGTGGTGGCTGACGTCGCGGATGGCCCCTTCGTCGCGGGCGTGGCGACCGTCGTCGGCGTCGACGTGACCGCCCTGGACGCGCAGGTGCGGTTCCCTGGCCCTGGCACGCGAGGCTTCCTGGCGGGCCCACCTGCCCCCGTCGGGACGGAGTCGGCGTTGGACACAACCATAGCTGGTGCTGTGAGTGCAGGTGAACCTAGTGGCCTCTGGCCAACAGGGGAGCCTGCCGTCGCAGCACCGATGCATCAGGTAAATGGCGGCGGTGACGTGCCACGTCAGCCAGCGGCGAGTGCTGCGCGCGCAGACCCCTGCCCTCCTGGAGCGTCGGCTGCTGGGCGCTGTCATGGGACGATCGCCGAGCCGTGCTCCCTCGAGCCCCGCGCCGACGTCTCCCCCGACGCCCCCGCCCTCGGCCATCCCGCGGCCGCGGAGGAGCGGCCCTCAGGGATGCGGGAGGCGGCCCCGCCCTTCGTGCCTGCCGCGCAGGCCCAGCCGAGTGTGGCGGAGGAGACGAACGAGGCGGACCCTTCCTCGGGCTGGCGATGGTCGTGCGGAGCTGTCGTCTACAGCCCTTGCGATTTGGGGCCCGTGCATGCGTGGTCGTTTGGCGGGCGCTTCAGGGGCTGACGCCTGCCAGCGGAGCATCCTGGCGGGCAGTGGACGTGCCTGGTGCTGCTGCGAGCTTGGCCCAAGGTATGGCAGCCATCGCCGCGCGTTGCCCGCCACCGTCTACCAGCCCCGACGAGGCGAGGCGCCTCGAGTCCCTCCGCCGCCAGTGGACACGCACTCTGGACGATCTCCTCGAGGAGCGCAGGGCGGCCCTTGTCGACGGCTGCGACCAGGACCGTTTCAACGAGCTCGAGGACGACATCCAGGAGGCGCAGCGGATCTTGGGAGAGATCGACGACGGCGTCTCCTCCCAGCAGCTCCTGCTGTACAGCTTATGACGCACTCCGCCATCGTGCTTGCGTTCCGCCGGATGTGCTCGAGTTCAACAAGTCGGGCCTCGCGCCTGAGTCTGCTTGCGTCGCCTCACGCTTGGCACGCTTGTGGCCGCATCTGGGTGAAACTCCTCCTCCTCCTCCTCCTCCTCCTCCTCCTCCTCCTCCTCCTCCTCCTCCTCCTCCTCCTCCTCCTCCGCTCGGCATCTTCGACCGCAAATTCGTGGTTTCTGCGCACGCGCGCATATGTCTAAAGCAGATTGCGCGCACCTGTCCAAGTATTGCTGGTGTATGTGGTCAACATTCGGAGGGCAACGTCCACCTGCTTCGAGAAGATCAGTATCTGAGGCATATGCCAAATACCGTTATCACTTTCTAGCTGCATGCGTCTAGACATGTTGGATGCCGCCGTTACCTATGGACACATGTGGGAGAGGAAGACGACTGTAAACGCATTGGATGTCGTTACGTCTAGAAATGCTGGTTGGATACGTCTATAGATACAATGGGCGTCGATCCGTAGTTGTGAGGTATTGTTGGGATTCTCGACAGGCTTGTGTGGGCACGTCGGGCACGTCTGTGGTAGCAGTGGGTGTCGTTACGTCTGTAGCCACAGGTTGGGGATACGCCTCTAGAAACACTGGGGGTCGTTACGTCCACCATCTAATGGCATTCGTCCCATCCCGCCACCGTGCCTGGGTTGTGGGCCGTTGGCCTCTAGGGATGTCGCGGGAGGCCTCTTCGGCGACGTTTTGGGGCCCCTTGGGGCGTCTTCGGGGCCTCTTGGGACCCTCTTGGGACCCTCTTTGCCTGTCTTGGGGCCCTCTTGGCTCCGAAGAAGTTAAGCGACACGCCGCGCAAAGCCGCGCCGCGCCAAGCCCCGAAAGATTTGGCAATTGGGGTTCTGGGCCACTCAAAGACTCGATGCTTAACAGATTAGGGAAGAGACCTGAGTGCACGCCCACTCCGTACCCAAAGGCACAGTGGCAGATAGAAGCGTTTCGATTGGATATTGCATGATACGTCTATGGACACTTCGGGTGGCGTTACATATATAGAACATGTTGGGGGACACGTCGGTAGACAACGCGGCCGATGAGCGCGACGCAGCTCAGGGTCGGAGAAAGGGTAGATCCGTCTACGGCAGATGCCGGCACGTCCCACAGGTGATCCAAGCCAGTTTGGCGACGGACGGCTCTTCACTTCTGCTCCCCCACCCTGGACCAGCCAGAAACAGGTCATCTGGACCAACCGAAAGCAGGCAGGGGTTCGCCCCAGGCAGCACAGCTCGCAAGCGGCGGCGGAGTGCGCTCCGGTCCGACGCCTTGCTCTACGAGTCCGCCCAGTGGGCTCCCAGCCTTGCACTGGCCCTCGCCCTTCGAGCTCGGTCCTGGAGTTTCGATTCGGGTCCCAGACCTGTTTTTCGATGCCGCGTCTCCTTCGACTTCGGCCCCGGTCCCTCTCGGATTTCGGTACGGACCAGCCTTCTTCGCCTTCGCTCCTCGAAGGCGCTCTCCCTGTGATTCCCCAGACTTTTATCGATTCCGCTTAGTCTCTTGGGCACTTCTTCTAGATGATCTTTGTTTCCTCGCCCCCGTTAGCTACACCCACAGCCCCGCCTTCTACAAGCTCGCCAGGTACCTCGACGAAGTCTCTGGCCGCCGAGTGTAAATCTGAATCGCAAATGTCCATGAGCAAGGCAACGCCAGGCGTTCGGGGAACGCCCTTCCTCCCGACGTTTGCGCGTCGTCCTCGTCCCCAGCCTTGTGTCACAGTCGCCATCCCCTCTCTCATCCGTTATCCCCTTCTGTTGTCTCCGAACTTTTTGGCATGGTGGGAGTGCTGCCTGTTATTGCGAGGCATGTTTGGGCAAACATGTTTGCCTCGGTCCCTCCCCCTCAGTAGAAATCAGGAGCAGAAAGGACCACAGAGGTGCACCTTTGGCATCGGAAAGAAGCCTTCGCCTTGCCCCTCCCTGCTCCGCCTGTGCAGCGGGTCATCGGCCACGCTCCGTGGGGTGGAATGTGGCGAGAAGCCCCGCGGCCGACGATCGCAGGGCCCCGTCGCTCCTTCTCCCAGGGCGTCGCCCTCGCCCGGGCCCCGCCAGGAATGGCTCTGGGGGGCCGCAGGGCAGAGGCCCGAAGACGTCTCCATGGCCAGAACGCATAGCACATTGGCCCCCCAAAAGTTTACAGGGCCTGCAGAATGAGGCAGCGCAACAAAAAAAAATACACGGCCCTCGCCCAGAAAAAGGTGTACAGGGCCCAGAAATTGAAGCATCCTTTGCCCCACCCCGACCCCCGTCACCCCGCCCCCCGTCCGACCGAACGCCTCGACGAGGCACCCCCAGGAGGCGACGGGCCAGGCGTCGGTGAACACGGAGATGGTCTTCGGATCAAGCAATCTGGGGATGAGGCCAACTGGGGGGGGTCACTGAACAATTTAAGCAAAAAAGTTGTGTGTGTGTGTTCTTCCGCTCCTAAAGAGCCAAGCCACGTAGGGTTCGACCCAGCTTTCCTGCAAGCTCTCCTTCGCCTTTTTGCACTCTGTTCATGTGGTCTCGGTGCCGATTTCGGCGCAGAACGGAGGGGGGGAAGGACGGGCACGACATCTCGTGGTGGTCACGTGGAAGGGGACAGGAGATCTCGCGGTGGTTTGGGGCGACGAGGAGGGGATCCCGTGTTTGCCAATCAGCGAGCCCGGAGGATTTACAGCAGCCTTGACCGCGAGGACGATGCGATTGGTTACGTCCAGCGGGCCATCGATGTCAAGGACAGCCCAGGGAGGAGGAGGAGCAGAAGGAGGCGACGTAGGAGGAGAAGGAGGAGGAAGAGGACAATGAGGAGGAGAGAAGGGAGGAGCCGGAATAGGTGGAGCAGGAGGAGGAGGTACTGGCGGTGGGGGGAGGATGAGGATGGTGATGATGATTTCGAGGTTTGTGAAAGAGGACGGGAGAAGAAGAAGAGGATGAGGAGGACAAAGAAGGAAGAGGAGGACGAAGCGAAGTACCGGCAGGACAGTGGGCAAAGAGGTTGTCAGAGGGACAGCCTCCCGGGCATGCGGGGTTCCAGTGGTGTTATTGCTAGGTCTGGGGAGGTGCTCAGTGACACGCGCTTCCGCGTGGGAATGAAAGTATGTCAGGCACCTTCCCCGCTCCGTTGTTATCTCTTGCAGTTGTTGTGCGGCCGCAGGGGGCACTTTGCGCAATGGATGCAGGAGCTCGTGTTGGTAGACTCGTATCAAATTCCAACCACGCTCTAATCACATAGGCAGACCCGTAGACGTTTTCGATGTCGTCGTTCAGGTCGGCTTAGTGTTCACCGACCCCAACGTGAACAACGCCGCTGATCGAGCTGCGTCCGGCAATTCTGCCACCGTGCCAGCTCAGCATTCCGGGTGGCAACTGCTCGAGAAGGCAAGGGGGGCTCTTGGGGCAGAAGGCTAGAATTTTGTTGTGTTCGTGTTCGCGTTCTTGGGCCCTTCTTGGGGCCATCTTGGGGCCCTCTTGTGCAGTCGTGGGCGCCTCTTGGGCCGCCTGGGAGCCCGTCTTGGAGCTTTCATGGGGGCCTCCGGGGGGGCATTCGGGGGCGCATCTTGGGCCGTCTCGGAGACTTCCGGGACTGTCTTGGGGCCCTCTTGGGGGCTTCTTGGGCCGTCTTGGAGCAGTCCTGGTGGCCTCTAGGGTCGTCTTGGGACGTCGGAAGCTCGAAAAGGCGAGGACCCGAACATAAAACACATACAGAAAATCAGCATTTCGTGCCTCTCGAGGCTCTCTTGGGAAGGCTTTGGGGGCCCTCTTTGGGCGCATCGACGGGCTCGTTGGCCGTCTTGGAGCGGTCTTGGTCCGTCTTGAGGCCAACGTGGCCCGTCTTGGAGCGATATTGGGCCGTCTCGGAAGCATCTGGGCGTCGGGAGCGCGAACCTGCATGTGCGAGCGATTATTGCCTCGGGAAGGGGGTGCGATGCACGCAGGTGGGTATGTCGAGAGGGGGGGCCTGAGAAAAATACAGAAGCCCTGCCAGGCAGCACTTGGCATTCTACCACGCCTTAACGTGCACAAGGCACGGTGGCGGAACATCGGCCTCTTGCCTTGTGTACATCAGAGTTGCCCCTTCGCATCGCCGATGGCTTGCATCGCTGTTGACTCGTCAGCCTTCGCATCACAAGCCGACGGTGGCATTTTTACGAGCTCGGAGCAATCCTGGGCCACCGCGCCCGCGTCGCGCAAGAATCCTCCACGCGTGAGTAGATGACGCGCGCGTCTCGCAGGCACTCGATATTTTTCTCGCCGTGCAAGCATCCAACGAAACACCCGCCATCGTCCGCACACGGACACAGTCAATGACCATGGACACAGTAGTTTCGCAACCAACATGCGGTTGAACACAAAGGCGCAGGGAAATGACATGAACAAGGCTATATCACCAAGTCGGGGGGGGGGGGGGAAGGAGGGAAAGAGCAGACAACGAACGTGCATGACTCATACGTGATATCCTGATCGCACGGGCGCCCCAGGATACCCCGATGTTAAAACACAAGTTGCGAAGGTTGTCTCACACGGAGGTCGGCAGGCAAGCTTGCAAGTGATCTATACTCTGCCAGGCCAACCGTGCCATATTGCCGCCACAGCTCTCTCCCCCGTTCAACTCGTAGCCGTATGGGCTCACGCATATCATGCCTTGGGGCCTTGCCATTGGCGCCGCTACGCTCGCAAAACAAGATCCCGATAGCGGGTGGCGCCGGATCTCGGCCGTCGCCAGAGAGGGTAACGAGGCCGCGAGTCTTGCGCAGATGAGTCTGAAGCTTTTGCCTTTCTGGGGTCTCCAGCACCGCTGCCGCCGCGGCCTGAAAATCTCTGGGGCGCGGCCCCTGATGTGTGTCCAGTCTCCAGGCAAGCTGCTTATTTTTTCTTGGGCATGCCTTGCCTCGAGAGGCGCTCGCCGAAATCGGACGCAGAGGATGGCTGGTAGACATATGACGAAATGTGGGGCTTCTCTTGTCGCCATCATAATGCGCCTCATGGCCACGGTGCGCGTCCAGGGTCGCTGCGCTGGGAAGACGCCCCTGTCGACCACGGCAGGAAATGAGTTGTTGTTTCCTGCTTTGCTCCAACGCCAGCGGGCGTCGCAGACTCGCACCCCAACTCGTTTCCCGTCCAGTTCTCGGAACCAGCAAGCGTGTTGTTGGAGTGTGCTGCAACATTGGTTCGGTCATGGGTTGGAATCCAATGGAGCCGACGTAGACGACCGCAATGACATCGATGCGGTAACGAAACTGAGCGCGTGTGGTTAGGGGTGTCGCCGCCTAAGTGCTGTGGCGTTGGCAGATACATACAAGTGCAATAAGTGCAGTGTTGGGAGATCTCTTAGCGAATACAGAACGGCACGCCGAACGACTCGACCACATTTTGGCGACACCTTCGCACGCTGTAGGGATCATTATTGCTGTTGCCCCCCCTGGTGCATCCCACGATTGCACGCCCCTCCCTTGTCACAGACTTGTATGAGCTAGGACCGCCGAAAAGTGAGAACGTCGAGAGTGGCGCCCACATTTCAATGAATACTGACGCCTCACAGTTTGCTTTCGTCACAGTCCAACGCTGCAATCATAAACAGTTGTAGCCTCATCAACGGCCACCGTGGCAAAATGAAGTGGCTTAAACTTTTTGCGCCAGTGCGAGTATCCCAGGTCGGTCGTAAGTCGCATTTCGCCCGGCTGGAAAGGTCTACCGTGGTGGGCCCCTCGAAATTCCAGCTGATCAGATTTTCGAACGATTGACAGATGGGGGAGGGTTCCGTTTCCGGTCAGGTGCGCATGTGAAGGAGCGTCCCCGTCGTTTTTGTATCGCCGAGGCCCGTCTGAGCACGCGGCCGCACACGTGCTTCAGTTGCTTTGTCTCCGCTTCTCTTTCCGCGTTCGTTTGCTGATTTTGCCGCTGCATTCTCATCAAGGTGCGGCTTGCTATCGCAAGGGTTACACGAGGGTGTCGGAGGAGGATGCAGAGGAGTCGAGGGGAGGGGGGCGGTAGGGAGGAGGGTGTGAGTACGGGAGGAAGAGGAGGAGAGGACGTGGCGGAGGCTGAGGATAAAACGTGCGAGGAAGCGGTGTTGGTGAGGAAGGGGCGAATGATAATCAGTGGTAGGCGGGCGAGGGAAGGATGAGGAGGAGGACGAAGAGGAAGAGGCGGAGGAGGGAAAGGCTGATGAGTAGGACGTCCAGGAGTACGTGGACAAAAAGCACTCGAAGTCCTCCTTCAATAGCCTGGTAGCAGTGTTTCGGGCACCGTTTCCGATCGAGCGCGCGGCCCAACATGATGCCCTCGCGTGTCCGAGTCGCGGAGGCTGGCCGAGGCCGCTGCGATGCGGGCCGAGCGCTCGCCCCCGAGTCCGTCGTGGCCTCGCCCGCACCGCCGAGGAGAGGGCCGGCCATCCGGTGTCGTGGTTCGACCTCTGGGACCTGGGGCGGATGCGTGCCACCTCGGCCCTCAAGGGCAGCGACTCCGGCCAGATCAAGGCGTGAAAGGGGCGGATGAGGAGGAGGAGGAGGAGGAAGAGGAAGAAGAAGAAAAAGAAGAAGAAGAAGAAGAAGCACGCCGAGAGGCGGACCTGTCACAAGACGGTTCTGGGGCCCGAGCAGGGCGGCGCTTGGTGGGCTCAGATCTGCCCACTGCCGCTTCCGCCACCTGCTGAGCCTTGACTCAGTCGCGCCAGCTCTCTCTGGCGCACTCTGTCATGCAACGCTGCAAGCCTCGATTCGTAGGTACAGGCCGAGGCAGGGTCAGGTCGAGTCGAAACGCTGGTGGTCTCAATGCGAGGCATCCGACGTATGGGCATGACTCTCTCGGCTGGGACCGCACATGCAATCTGCTTCTGCAACTTTCGGAGGAGGGAGGGATGCGGATGAAAGTAGGAGTGGCGAGGAGCTAGCACAACGATTCCAAGAATGGAAAGGTATAGGGACATCAAGCGACAAAACATAGATTCCAAGGGTGAGGAAGGGGAAGGTGAGGAGCGGGGAAGGGGGAGGAGCGAGGTGGGAGGGGGTGTGCGGGAGGGCGGGTGGGGAACGAGGTAATTGGGAAAGGGACAAGGGGAATAAGTACAGTCAACCCGCATATCAAGGATGAGCGATTGTCTGAGGTGTCCGTTCCATTCTTCCCCTTCGGCCGAGCCTTAGCGACATTTGCTGGCCATCCTCGTTCGAAACGCGTCGACATGTCCCTCCAAGGCCTTGCATCCTTACCGCGCATCCGTCGTACACGGGTTGACAGTAGGGAGGGGGGGGAAATGGTGAGGTAAGATGATGGTGGCGATTCTGATGATGCTGATGATGCTGCGAGGGAATGGAGCGGAGGCGGAGCAGGAGGAGATCAGGATCTCAGGGAATGTGGTATGTAGGCGGGGAGGCGGAGGGAGAGGCGGATGGGGTGGGGGAGGGTGAGAGATGAGATGATGAATGGGAGGGTGGAGAGAAATGATGCGGAAGAGAGGAGGAGGAAGTTTATGCGCAGAAGGAGGCGGAAGCGGAGTCGGAGATTGAGGAGGAGGCGGAGGTTGAGTCTGTCGGGGAGTGAGTGGGGGTGTAGGATGGGCACGAGCCTCGGGAGGGGGAGGTACAAGAGGGGGGGAAGAGAACGCAGGGGAGGATGGAGGAGAGGCATGATAGAGGAGGGCCGATGGACGTATGCAGACGACAAGGAAGGGTGGGAGGAGTAAGAGTTGGAGGAAAAGAGGGAGCTTGCTGGAGGAGTGAGAGGAAGACGAGGATTGCCATCTGCTGGCCACGTGGCCGACGCGTCGAGATCTTCAGCATCATAGTTGCGTCGTTCCCCTCCAGACCGGTTCTCCGCATCTAGGCCGCTTCCCCTCGCCGAGAAAAGAAGATGAGGATGTGGCAATGGTAGCAGTGCGTCGGCGAGGTCGTCGCGCCGCCGCAGCGGCACCCGCCTCAGCAGACCCCGATCCCGACCGGCACGGCTCGGCCACGGCGCGCAGGGCCTCGAGCGAGACGCATCGCTCCCCGCACACCCGCTCGCCCGCGGCGGCGGATTGCGCGCTGGGGTCTTGGCGCACCCTCGCGCCACCTGCCTGAAGCCGCGCACCAGAGCTCACTCTTGCCTGGAGGGGGCGCCCCTGCGTGTAGCCTTTTCGAAGGTGACGAGCCGGCCGCCGCAATTTGGTCCTGCATCTCCTCCCGCGCCCGCCTCTTGGCGCCGGGGGCGGGCTCTGCGGGGGCGCGAGCCGCTTTCCGGTGTCAGGGATAAGGGCGTCTAGGTTCAGGGGGGGGCGCATGGACCCACAATCGCCCATTGATCGAAGTTAAGGGCCCAATAGCCCTCTCCGCCCAGGAACGTGCGGTTTCGCTATCGGCGGCCTATCGCCGATCTACCGGCCCTGTGTCGCCGATTCCAGGTCGATGCCTCTCCCTCCTGTGCCAGTCCCCCCCCTGTCGTTGCCCCTCAGCTCCTTCATCGTCCTGCCCCCCCCTCCAGCGGCCTCGTGGCGCCGAGGTCACAGAGCGGACCTCGCCGCCGCGACGTGGGCGCCATCGAACTCCAGCGAACCGCCCTCCACCTCCCTCGGCAGCGGTAAGGAAGCATTTCGTAGCCACGATGCATGGACCAGGTGTCAGGGTTGTCCACGCCAGCGCACCTAGTGAGCACATCAAGCAGAAGGCTGCTCAGATCTACATGGAACCTAATCCCCGTTGAGTGCGCCTCCCTTTTTCCCGCGCCCCTTCGTGCCAAAATTGTTCCCGCCGAACTTCGCCCGTCGCTCGACCGGCGCTTGGACCCGCTCCGGCTCCATTGCGCCCGCTGACTTATAACAAAATTAAGCCTCCACCCAGCACGGCGCTGCGGCCCTCCTCTGCGGAGGCTTCCCAGGACGCCGTCACGAAGGCGTTGTGGCTCCACAGGGAGGTTGAGCCCAAGGAGCGCGCGCCCCTCCGCCCCATCGTCGCCGGCTCGCTGGCGCCTCGGGAGTTGCCTCGGGCCCCACGTGACGGGGGCTCTGTCAGAGAGGACGAGCCGGCCGTCGGGCGGACCCTCTCTTGAGGTCTTGGATTGTTGTGTAGAGTTGCCTGATGGTTTTCGGGCCCAGGGGTGTGTTTTCGATCGGCCGCGCATTGCGGAGAGCTTTCCCGGGGACGCCAGACTTGTTCCAATTTGCCGCTTGTGCCCCCGAGCTGTGGTCCGAAAACCAAACGGAGGAAGGCAATTTGGTCAGCGTCAACGGGGATCGGCCCGTCCCTCTGGCCGACTCGGGTTTGGGAGTTCCCTCCGCTCGCCCGTGTTTCGGAGCTGTTTCGCTGCTGGCCCGGGTTCGCAGCATGGCTTTGGCTGACCCCCGTCGCGTCCACGAGAACCCATTTCCCAGACCAGTGTGGCTCCGCAGAAGCCCCGGAGGCAGCTTCCACGGGTCCCGGTGCCCCAGAACAGCTTCAGCAGGCGCAGAGACATCGAGCGACAAGATATTGGCGATCTCTGTGGCTCGCGGTGCCCAGATATCTGCAACGGTGTTTGGGAATGCGATGAGCCGGGCAGGGGGAGGAAGGTGGAGCAGTAGGAGGAAGAAGATGAGGAGTGGCAGCATCTCGAGGATGAATCGTGCGCAGCGCCAGCAGCGAACGGCGTCTGCAGCGACGACGACAACGGCATGGGTCGCGGCAAAAACCAGCATTTGAAAGAGGATGCGTGAATGAGGATTCGAGTTATGCAAGGAGAGCGTCATCAAGATTTCAGGTTGAGGAAGGAAGGGCAGGGAGGCCATGATCATTACGGTCTGGTGCGACATCTGTCTTCCCCTTGATCTCATAACAGCTTTCGGCTCAGTCAAGCACGGTCTCACTGTCAGCTCTTTGTTGGCACAGGTTATGGAATCAGTTCTCGTCAGAAGGTCTGCGAACTTTGCGACGTCGAATCGGACGTCCAGGTGAAGGGGGTCACGACCACGGAGGGTGTCGAAATCTACAGTGGTGGCAGGCAGGGAGGCACATGCTGGTGTAACGCCATGCTGAAACAGATGCCAATTAAGCTGAGTACAGACTTTGGTCACTCCATTTGGGCTCATAACATATAGATGTCTGCGTCCTCTTGGCATGTTCGAGAATAGGCCCAACGTGCTCACGGGAAGCATAAGTGGAAGGCAACGGAGTTTAGATATACCATTGGCACCGATGACGGCGACTGCTCAGTCATAGAGGTGCACACCGCAGCGCATCATGACCTCGAAGAGCAAGCGCGAGATTATGACCTTGGGCGTGCTGGTCGACCAACGCGATGACGAGGTGGAAATATCGATTATACTCCTACCCTGATGGACGCTGCTTACGGCTCCATCGCCACGGTGCTACAGGATAAAGGGGTGCCGGAACAGTCGGACCGAGGTACAAGATCGAGGTCGGTTCGGGCAGGGTACCCTGATATTCTTCGCTTTTGTGGTTTGTCCCTGTGCATCCGAGGGGATGGCATCCTTGAATGTTCTCTGTGTTCTGGCCGGCGGAGGGTCTCATGTTCTTGAACGATGTTCTTCCGTCGTAGGTCGGGTTGTAGCAGACAGGTCGGGATTGGTGTTGGGGACGTCGGTTCAGTGCTGTTTGGGGCAGAGGAGCGAGCACGACGTGCACGCGCCTGGGAGATCAGAGTTGTATTAGGTCAGGGATTCTTGAGCATCGGCAAGAAGCAACGACGCGGAAGGTCAACCCGAGTCTTTATTGCCCTGATACGCCCGTTCTGAAGCACAACGCGTACCGTGTTGAAAACGTCCGTGTGAAATTGTTGCGTGTTGGCCGGGCACGTGTTGGCCCACGCTTTGGCAAACGTATCGCCGCAGACGTACATGTTGAATCCACGTGTTGGGATCCGTGTCAACACGCTTCGTGTTGCGCATTGCGTATCGGGCTAGCTAAGGCCCGAGTAAGATTGGAGCGCCAATGAGATCATGTACGAACTTTTTTGCAAAGTAGACATCGGACCCGATGCGTGACGATTTTGGAAATAGTGATCAGTCGTTCGAAATTCTGTGGATATTTAAATGAGATGCTGACCTGAGTGCGAGGAGTGGGGCTACAGCAACCTTACAGGACCGAGACAACAGCACGGGCGGAAGGTGTCCACTGAAAGGCAGCCTGCACTGCTCGTCGCCCGAGTAGAGACAGCGATCCCGGTTTTTGGCACGACACATGCCAGGAACAGCTCCTGAAAGCATCTCCCTAGGGTGCGACTTGGAGACGGGGGCCCCGTAGGTTCGGAGGAGAATCTCAGCCCAGACGGTTCGGCAGTTGGACGGAAGAGGACAAAATCTGTTGATCGTGATTTTGAGCAGGCGAACTGCTCTTGCACGGCGCTCGTTGATCTCACAATCGATGGGGCGTAGCGGACTCCTTGGGCGGCGATGTGCAGTCGAAACCGATGATAAGGATGGGTCGGCCTCACAGGGGTCCTCTTGCAACCGCGCCCCTTCGGTCCACACTTGACCACTTTCGAGGGTCTTCCTCGGTCGAAAAGCTTCGACATGGGCGTACAAGGGGCTTGTCGGACGGGGCTAAGACGAGGATAAATCCGTTCCAGAGCGTTCCAGTACGCCACCAGATCGTTCGGGGTCACTCTGAGAAGGCCGCGGCGCCCGAGATGTCCAGCAAAGCCACCGGATGTCAGAGATTCTCGATCTTTCCTCGCCCGATTTTATCCTCGTTCTGGCTTCGACTTATCCAATGGCCTTGCATACCTAACGCGCATCCTTACTGTCGTTTCTGACTGCATGCAGTAACGTTTCGTCGGGCCGTCTGTGGGGGAGAGCCCCTGCGCCCTCGAGCTCTTGCTGTTCGGCAGCGAGGCACCGGCCAGCAGCCCGGGCGATGCGTAAGGGGCGGGCGACAAATGGGCCGCCCGGGCCCCTGTAGAGAAGGAGAGACAGAGCGAGAGCGTGCGCCCGCACGGGCCCCCCGTTCGGAGCCCCGAGCCCCTGGTTCGGCGGCCGGGCACCGACCCGGCGGGCTGGACCAGGTCGGGCCGGGCGCCCCGTCGGCCCGGGCGCAGGTCGAGCCAGGTCAGCGGGCTTGCACAGCGGCCGGGCCTCGAGCCATCGGGCGCCCTTGTCGGCACGAGGTCGGCGCGAGGGGTCGGTGCAGGTCGTGTGCCAGGACGGCGGGCAGGTCGAGCGGGTGCAGGTCGAGCCGGGCGCCTGCAGCCCTAGAGGGGCCCCCTGGGGCCCAAACGGGGCACGGCAGGTGCACGCTCCCCCCCCCCCCAGTGATCGCCCTTCCATTCAGCAGCGCCCGAACAGCAGCGTTTCGGGAATTGCAGCGGCTGGCATCACATGCGCAGCGATATCACTGCCAGCGCGATCGGAAACATATCATGGATGATAGTGTTCTGATTCGGGGCCCCCAGGTAGATTCACAAAAGTCCCATGCAGCGGTTGACAAGGGGGTTGAATGGAGGCCGATTTGGTTGCTTTCCCTGTACTGATGCCGAGGAGTTTTGTTATTGATAGCGTTAACGCTGAGTTGCTGCTACCTCACACTGGTATCATCACGAACAATCAGTGCTGGAGCGGCGTACGACACCGTCCCGAACGCGCCATATACAGCTACGCGTGGGTAGTAGGTGATACATGGGGTCAACCTACGCGGATTGCGTATCCTCGCATTCGCATGCGTTCTCCAGGTTACAGTGCTAACATCAGCTTTGAGGTGGAAGCTCACGTCCTGGGCTACGCTACAGGGAAATGCTTGGGAATCTCCAATGGTAGTATCAATCAGATACGCAGACCAGAGGTGTTGGGCAATGTGAAGGGTAAGTTTGGCTGGCGAAGTACCCACCATATGCAGTTATGAGTACCGTGTTGCTGCATCTCTTTCGGTGTAGCAACCTATGCAGCCACGCACCGTGTGAGGGGTGCGCCAAAATGGGGCGGCGCCACCATGTGAACCCTGTCGCTTGGGCCTTCGGTTGAGCTCCCTGTGGGGCCACGACCGTGTGAGGGGTGTATCAAAATGGTGTGGCGCCGCCATGCGAATCCCTGACACTGAGGCCTTCAGTGGAGCTCCCAATGAGACCACGCGTCGCGTTAGGGCGTGTGCCGACATGGTTAACATGTGGAGGGCAGAGGCAGGCATAGGAGGAGAGAGGAGGGGGGCATAGGGAAGGACGGATGGACGGAAGTAAGGAGACGCGGGGCATTGTTTCGTCAAAGCCAGCAGCTGACACCACAGGATGTGTTTGGGGACATTGCATAGACATGATGTTTTGGAGTTCTCGCGCGGAGCTCCTACAGTTTATGTGTATGGTTTATTCCTCCCCCTTCTATAACAAGCGGGTCAGTGTGAGGTCCATAGCTCAGGTGGCAGTCTGCTGTCACATCGTGCCGATGTTTGGCTGTTAAGAGAGATGGCATGTCTCACAGCAGGCCCCTTGTGAGGGTAAACACAATGCCGATGGGAAACACGTCCAAACGACGAGGGGTAGGATGAGAGAAAGAAGCGCTGTGCTTACTCTTGATGGTCGCTCTACTGTTGCAGCTGATCTGGCCCATTTCACGTGCTTTTCAGTTCTATTGACGGGCGTCACGCTACGATCGTCTCGCATTCGTCCTCTTGGGATTTGTTTCGCGTCCGTCCTTGTAAGAGTTCGAGGTGTTGAGGAACGTAGCAGCTCCGTTGTTGGTGTGCGCCTTTCGTCAAAAAGTAAATGAGGCGAAGGATGAGTGGTAGGTGGTAGAGAAGCAGCGTGATGATGAGGAGGAAAGGCGGCATCGTATGGTGCGACGCAGGGGCAGGGGGCGGAGCTAAGATGGTGGCGGCATGATGAAAAGGATGGATGCATGGAGTGAGGGAGAGAGTTGTTGGGGATTGTTGGGCAGGAGGATTATGCCATGTAGGCGGTTACAAGCGGCGTGCAGGATTTCGTCATGCGCGCCAAGATTTGGCACAGCGTCGGCGAATGCAGTTTTGCGATGGGGTTCCTCGCGGAGAAGGAGGCGGCTCATCTTCTCTTGTTCTTCTCCTCCTGGAACAATGAACAACTGCATACATATACATGGTTTGAGTTCTGGCTAGGCTTCTTAGGTTGGCGCTGTGCCCCTCCTGGCGGCGCCTCTGGCGCCGCCGCTGGCGCGTTCCGCGCGCAAGGGAGCGCGGCCCGATCCAAGAACTGCGCCGAGCTCCGATCGTTTCTGTTAACGTTGGTGGCGTGCTCCTCTTCTTCTTCTTTTTCTTCTTATGAATACCTCGTCGTTTTCCCCACATCCAAAGTGGGGTTCTCGTTTTCTCTGCACACGCCGCGCAGGATCTCACACCCCCCCTTTCCTTTCTCTCTCTCTCTCTCTCTCTCTCTCGCTCACCATCATCGCCATCATCATCACCATCAACCACCATCATCGTCATCACACGCACACACTCATCATCATTACCATCATCATCACCATCAACCACCATCACCGTCATCACTAGTCATCATCATCATCCTCATCATCATCGTCACCATCATCACCACTCGATCACCCACTCACTCACTCAATTACTCACTCATCCTCAGTCGGCTTCGGAGGCAGTGGTCCTCCGACGGTAGGACCGCCGCCATTCTCAACATTATCGTCACCATCTCCAGCGTAATCCCTCGATCACCCACTCAGTGGCCATCATCATCATCATCAGCATCATCATCATCATCATCATCATCATCATCATCATCATCATCTTCATCTTCATCTTCATCATCATCATCATCCTAATCCTCATCCTCATCATCATCATCACTCATTCATCACACACTCATCAGCATCATTCGCTCACTCATCATTTCGTCATCAGACGGGAGCCTCAGAGTGAACTGCTTGGAAGTCTCAGGCTGGAGCCCCCTCCCTATGGGGCCCGCAGATCATGTTATTAATCCGAGCGGGTCATCGGAACCCTGAAACTGTCGTCGTGTTTGGGCCTCTGAGGCTTGAGTATGCAGGAAGTATCAGGCGGGAGCCTCGTCTGTGAGTGAATTGCGAGGAAGTGTTAGACGGGAGCCCCCTCCCTATGGGGCCCGCAGATCATGTTATTAGTCCGGGCGGGTCATCGGAACCCTATAACTGTCGTCACTTTTGGGCTCCTGAGGCCTGAATATGGAGGAAGTATCAGGCGTAAGCTTCGTCTCTGAGTGAATTGCGAGGAAGTCTCAGGCTGGAGCCCCCTCTTTATGGGGCCCGCCGATCATGTTACTAATCCGAGTGGGTCATCGGAACCCTATAACTGTCGTCACTGTTGGGCTCTTGAGGCTTGAATCTGAAGGAGGTCTCGAGCGGGAGCCTCGTCTGTGAGTGAATTGCGAGGAAGTCTCAGGCGGGAGCCCCCTCCCTATGAGGCCCGCAGATCATGTTATTAATCCGAGCGGGTCATCGGAACCCTGAAACTGTCGTCACTTTTGGGCCTCTGAGGCTTGAATATGCAGGAAGTATCGGGCGGGAGCTTCGTCTGTGAGTGAATTGCGAGGAAGTGTTAGGCGGGAGCCCCCTCCCTATGAGGCCCGCAGATCATGTTATTAATCCGAGCGGGGCATCGGAACCCTGAAACTGTCGTCACTTTTGGGCTCTTGAGGCTTGAATCTGAAAGAAGTCTCGAGCGGGAGCCTCGTCTGTGAGTGAATTGCGAGGAAGTCTCAGGCGGGAGCCCCCTCCCTATGGGGCACGCGCTTCATGTTCGAACCCGGGCGGGTCATCCGAACGAGCTTTTTGGGTTCCTCAGCTCCTGCGGCCTGAACACGGGGGAAGTATCAAGGGGGAAATTTGTCTGTGGGCGGTGCGGGTAGCCCCGTCAGAGGACCGTCTCCTGTCATCACTTGGAGGTCTGAGGACGGATTTTAGAACTGGTCACCGAGGAGGTCCGCATGGTGGCGGCAGCTCTGTACAACGCGCTGGACCTTCGCGCTTGCCACGGACGCAGTGACACGCACGACGTGCAGGAGTCCACCTACAAGCGGCCGCACCACCACTTCGGACGCGTCCCCATCGTGCTGCACCTCGGCGATTTCCTGCAGTTGAAGCCCACCGGCAGCATCGGGCTCCTGACGGACGTGAGCGATCGCCTGGACGACGGAAAAGGGTCGTACAAGTACGCGGAGCCGCCGACGGTGGAGATCCAGCACGCCATCAGGGTCTTCTCTCAGATCCCCTGCGTCTTCGAGCTGAAGGGCACAAAGCGCTTCGAGCCGGGGGACCCTCTGATCGCGCTCTTGAGCTGCATGCGCGAGGGCAAGCGCTTCCCACCAGAGGTCTGGTCTGCCTGGGAGAAGACGTTGGCCTCGGACAACCACGGCGTCCTGGACCCACGGCGCCAGCACGAGAATTTCCGGCTCGGCTACGGCATGGGCATCTACTGGGAGACGCTGGCGAGGTGGATCAACATGCGCGCTCGTCGCGACGCGCGGCGCCTCGGCGTCTCCCTCGTTTTCCTGCAGGCCGTAGACGAGCGCCGCGCGATTCAAGGCGACCCAGACGCGGGCCGGCGCCTCCTGAACGTCCCGAACGCGCACAAGACGGGAGACATCCACGGCGTCTCACCAGCACGCGTCGGCATGGAAGTCCGGTTCACGGCCGCGCAGGAGGAGCTGAAGAAGAAGTTGGGGCTCGTGCAGGAGCAACTGGCCACCATCGTGTCCTTCGAGTTTCACGCAGACGACGAGCGGGACTACGAGGGGCGCGCGCCGGGCCAGCTCTTCCGCCCCCGCTTCCTACCGCAGGGAATCTGGCGACACACGGCTTCCAGGAGTCCCCGATCTACAAGGAGGTCGCCGAGGCGCTGCTGCAGGGCGCCGATGGCGCTGCCGACGACGGCGAGGCCGAAGCGCGGGCGAGGAGCTTGCTCATGTTCAGGCCCAGCGAGCAGGAACTCACGTGGCAAAGCTCGGGGGCGCGCGCTGCGCGCCGCTCGGGGTTCACCCTGGCGCATGCGCCCCACCTGACCTCCACGCTGTCGCAGGGCCAGACGCTGCGCAAGGGCGCCACCATCGACTGCGCCAGGGATGAGGGCGCTGGCCGCACGGGCATGTCGGACGAGACGCGGTGGCTGCACCTCCACGTCATGTTCCCCCGCGCCACGCGCGTGCGGAACATGCTGATCCTGCGGCCGCCCGCGCGAGAGTTCCCGGGGCGCGGGCCGCCGGCGTCGCCGCGGGAGGCGTTCCAGGAGTTCGACAAGAGAGCGGTGGATTCCAGGGCTGAGGCGGAGCAGCTCGCGGCAGAGCTGGGCTTCGTGCTGCCACCCGCCTGAGCGCCGCGGCGCGCGCCTAGAGGCCCGCGGGGTTGTCCCAACGGCTGGCTCCCGCGCCCCTGCGGCCTGCGAGGTTGCCCCGACGGCCTGGCCCGAAGGGTTGCCCCGACGGCTTCGCGATCTAGCCGTCGGGAAACGCGCGCGCGCTGGCCGACGCGGCGACGGCGCCGAGGAAAATCGAGTTGCTTGCCGCGACCAGGGGGAACGGGAGGTGCACATGGAAAAGAAGCAGGAGGATGAGAGGGGAAGGGGCATGGGGGAGGGCGACGACGAGGAGGAGGTGGCGCGAGAGGAAGAGGAGGAAGAGGAGGAGGAGGAGGAGGAGGAGGAGGAGGAGCAGGAAAAGGAGGAAGAGGAATAGAATGAGGAAGAGAGGGCAGTGCAGAGGGCGAGAGGAGAGGGTGTCCGCCAGGGGGAGGAGGAAAGGGCAAAGGGTAAGCTAAACAGATTCTCGTGCGGGGTCCTACCGTCGGAGTAATTACTATTATGCTCCCCTTCGCGTTCTGCTTTCCCCGCTCCCGCTGCTGCCCCCCTTCTTCTCGAAGGGGGCCAGTGACCTCAGTGCGTAGATGAGGGCCCACCTTCCTGGCGGCTGAGGAGGCCCGCCCTGAAGAAGCGCCAGCCCCCATCCGCGTTCCCGCGCGAGGCGCCTCCCCGTTCTGCTTGCGCCCCGTCTCCTGCTCGTGCTGTTCCTCCTCGCTCGGTTCTGCTTCCTCCCTCGTTCGTCCTCCCCCCTTTCGCCCCCTCCTCCCCGCCAATCCCTCCCCGCCCCCCCCCCCGCCCCACCTCCTTCCACCCCGCTCCCCTCCTCCCCACTCCGCTCCGCCCCCCCCCCCCCCCCCCATGTGAGGGACACCCTGTCGCCATCCCCACCGACTGGTGGAAGGGAGGATGGGTGCCCCCAGGATCTTTGTTGTCTTGGTCGCCCAGAGGCTGGGGGAAGCCCCCACTGGTTCAGACCAGCTGAACAGTCAGAACAGCAAACGCAACACAAACAACTGCTCCTCCCAACCCAACCCAAAACAAGGCCCCCTCGCCCTCCTCCTCCTACCCCTCCCCCTCCTTCTTCACCTGGCACCCTATGGGGGCCGCGCCGGGGTTCTTCCCATGCGCGCACGGTGGTGCAGCACGCGCCAACCAATTGCGGCAGGAAGAAAACAACAACAATGACCCTCCCCTTCTCTCCTCCATCCCCCCCTCCTCCATCCCCCCCCGCTCTCCTCCCTAGTCTCCGCTTGATTGCGGCGTATGCTAGGACGGACAGCACCCCACATTGAGGAACTCCGATGTAAGTCTTCACTCACAAGGCGCGCAACCCTTCCCCCTCCAGCCTCCCTCCACAAGTGCTCACTATGAATCCCACTCTCCTCTCATCCCCGAGTCTGTCCAGAGGATGATCGGCCCGCTCCGCGTATTGTTTTTCATGCAGGACTTCACGATTTGGTCAATTCCATTTTTTTGTTGTTTTGCAATCCGACTGCTGTTGGTTTTAAGACGATGCTGTCGCTGCAGCGTGGGCCGCATTTTCGGATCGAAGTTTTGCTCCCGTCGTTCAGAATGACGCTTTCTCTCTCTCTCTCTCTCTCTATCTGTCTCTTTCCAGCGTGCGCCGCTGTTCTGGATCCAGGTGTCTCAGGTCTCATTGGTCTCACAGGTCCCACGGGTCCGACAGGTCCCGCAGGTCCCACTTCTCCCACGGCTGCCCCAGGTCTTACAGGTCCCGGAGGTGTCCCCCAGATACGACGGGTCCCACAAGTCCCGCGGGTGCCACAGGTCTCGCAGGTGCCCTAATTCCCACAGCTCCCACAGCCCCCGCAGGTGTCGCAGGTCTCACATGCCTCACATGGCACATAGGTCCCCCAGGTCGCACAGGTCCCGCAAAATTCCGCAGGTACTGCAGGTCCCACAGGTCCAGAGTTCCCACCTGCCCCACAGATCCCGCAGGTTCCATGGGCCAAAGAAGTCCCATAGGTCCCACATGCTTCCCCCTTTCTCCTCCTCCCCCTCCTCCAGCCTCCCTCCATCCTCCATCCTCCATCCTATCCTCTCTCTCCTTCTCCCCTCCCTCCAGCCTGCCTCCCTCCTTCCCCCTCTCTCTTCCTCCCCCTCCTCCAGATTCCCTTCATCCTCCCCCCTCCTCCCTCCTCATCCCCGATCACAGGATTGCCCCGCCCCGCCGTGCTCTGCGTGTGAGCACGACCCGCCGTCGAAGCCAGCGTTCCGCAGCGTACCCACTGCGTCGTGGACTTTCTGTCTGGGAAGTTGTGCCCAAATGCCGAGGCGCAGTGGGTATGGATAGCATTCTGGAGCCTAGGGGCCTGATTTTTGTTTATGATGACTGCGCCTCTGGCATCTGGGGAAGGAAGTTCGGTACTCTAACACGCATTGGATACGGACACAGCCTTTGCCCGCAAGTCCAGTTGATGGTCCCTTCCTCCTCCTCCCGCCCCGTCCAGCCTCCCTCCATCCTGTCTTCTGCTTCCTCCTCCCCTCCCTCCAGCCTGCCTCCATCCTTCCCCCCTCTCTCCTCCTCCCCCTCCTCCAGTCTCCTTCCTTCCTACATCATCCCTCTTCCCCCCCCCTCGTGCGATTGCAACGCATTCGATGCGCACTCGAGGAACCACAAATTGTTGATCCGTCGAATGTGGCACATTCTGACCTTTGACCTGAAGAGCCCGCCGCCGTGTCCAGCCTGGGTCAGAGGTTTTGGTACGATTTCGATATGCTGGCGCGCCGTCGCGACCATGTGGCCTGCTTCACTGTCTGAACAGATACTCACGACGGAGGCCAGGAGTCGAGGACGCCCCCTCCTCCAGACTCCCTCCGTCCCCTCCTCCCCCCGCGACGACGACGTCGACCACGCCGACGCCGATGCCGACGACGACGCCAACGCCGACGCCGACGCCGACGCCAACGACGTCGTCGAAGACGACGACGACGACGTCGACGACGACGACGACGTCGACGACGACGACGACGACGACGGCGACGGCGACGAAGACGACGACCACGTCGACTGCGACGACGACAACGATGACGACGACGGCGAGCCCCCCGCCCCCCCGCCGAGGGGCCCGGCGCCGCCACGGCGGACGAGCGCCCCAACGGCCCGGCGCAGGGCGCGGAGGCCGCCACGCGCCGCGCCCTCCCCGCGGGCGCCGGCCTCGGGGCGGCGGGCGGCGCCGCCCCGCTCCCGGGGGCGCCCCGGGGCGCAGAGGGCCCATGCAGGCACCCAGCTGCTGCAAGGTGTCTGGTGCGTGGGCCCCGGAGGTCCGGGCCACTTCTCCCGGGCCCGTTTTTCGTCTGGAGTCGTTATGTTGACGCTCCCGAGGCCTGGCGAGGGCCCCCGGAGGCCGAAGACTGCCCAAATGCAGCCGCTCCCATTTTTGGGGAGCGTCGGAGCTCAGGGGAGCCCTTGGGAGCCCCCAAACCAGGTGGTGAGATATCAGGTGGTGACTTGGAGTCCCCACAAAGTCACCGCGGGGTTTGGGGACACGAGGTCGCTACCGGGTTCTGTGACTCCTGGACCCACATCCACATATAAAGGTTGACACTACTACCAATATCGCGGTGTGCCTCCACTGAGGGAGGAGACTTCCCGATGTCAGCGATGGTTGTGATATTCGGGTTTCCTGGGTGGCCGAAGTGTTACCCTGTGTAAGTGTTGGTGCCCGTTTCCGAATGGGGGTGGCGTTGTAAAGATGACTTGCGTCGTGACGCCGTTGGCCCGCTTATTACACGCGATCCCTCGAAGGTAACAAAAAAACTTCTCGGAGGTCCGCGCGGATCGGCGTTGGATTGGGCCCGGCGTTGAATTTGTCGGATCGGCATCGACATGATTTCTTGGATCGGCGTTGGGTCCCCCGGCGGCGCCTCCTGCGCCGCCGCTGGCTCCGCGCGTCACGGAGGGGGTTCAGTGCCGATCCAGCAAATCCACGCGGAGGTCCGCAAGTGTCTGTTTACGCTTATTTGTTCCTCTACTATTGCACGTTCTGCTTCATCTCGGTGATAGCGTGCACCGAAGAGGCCCTGGCAGGGGGATTGCGTGCACAGGAGGGGCCCTCGCGGGGGGATCGCCACACAGGGATAGTGGGTTCTTCAGAGATCGGTGTTGTACGCTTTTTTCCCAACGCCAGCCGTAATGGGGGGTGATGATCTTCAGAGCCCGATTTATCAGGGCAGGGGGTGGTCAGGGATGACTCCTGATTCGGGCCTCCCGTTTTCTCGCCAGGTCTGCCCCAGACTGCGCTCCACTCGAGTTCTCCCGGAGCACATTCTGCCCCATGCAGATGCTGTCCAGAAACCCCTCCTTGAAACAGGAGTTCTTCCGGATCAAGCGGCTCGAGGGCGTTCCCGCATCCCACTTGGGGACGCCAGAGGTCTGTCCCAGATTACTGAGGTGCTCAAAATCCAGCGGGGGTGAAAATATAAAGATACATCGCCGAGAAATCCGCTGGCAAGCCACCGACAGCCGAACCCGCACGCTCCTTGGCGGCGCGCGCTAGGAGGCTCTCATCGGCCATGGGGTCGATACGTATCCCTGGCCCCTGACCTAAAGCGACTGACCCCTGCTCCTCGGGCGTGACTCGGTGGGGGGCAATTGGATGGGGTGGGGGGTGAAGAAAGGTGTACCTATCTCAAGAACGAAAGAAGGACGTACACGTACATGAATCCGCGTCGGTTTCGAGATTATGCGTCGCGCGAACGCTCGTATCACGCGGTCGGTTTCGCGGATTCGGGGGATGTGTTCAGTGCGTGGTTGGGCGCGTACGTCCTTTGTGGGCTCCCGACTATCGTGCACACTTCACGGGCCAAGGGGGCCTCCTTGAGGTCCCCGACGTTGCACGAAGGGTGCGCCTCTCGTCAACCCCTCCGTTGATCGCCCCCCCCACCAAGCAACGCCCGAGGAACAAGGGGCAGGGGCAGGGGTGCGCATCGATCCCAAGCGCCCAACCATCGCCGATGAGCGCCTGACAGCCCGCCCCGCCCAGGAGCGTTCTGGTTCGCTAGCGGGGTACATGGGCGCATCCGACGCCGGAGGGAGCCAGGGAAAACGGCCACGTGAGCTGATTCGTTACCCCCACCTCTTCACTACCCCCCTTTTGCGCCCCATCCGGCAGCAGGAGCGGGATCCCGAGGGAAGCGGGCCTGGGCTTTCCCAGGGATCAGCTCTTCACCCTGAGCAATTGTTTGATCATCCTGAGGCGAGTGGGAGGCCCCGGGGCCTCGAACACGGGGCAAGCTTCCGGACACCCTTCCTCGAGGACCCGTTTCCTTCGTGCTGGTTGAGCGCCAATGTGGATCAGCCACAGTCCCCTTGGGTTTCCTCTGGCTGACCTGGGTGTGGGAGCCGCGCGGAGCTGGGCCCTCCTCCCCATCCGTTGACTCGGGCATGGGAGTTGATGACGTTTCAGACACGCCCGGTGTGGGGGGTTTCACGCACCAGCGCCCTGGTTGATGATTCAGATTCATGCCCTGCTCGTGGGCGTCGTCGTGATTGAGATTACGAATGTGATGGTCCTCCCAAATACTCTACGGCGGCTGGCGACCACTTGTTCAATTGCTCCCTCCGTGTCCTCACTCAGACGGGCGTTGGTAGGTCGCAGGCGTGGGTCTGGTTTGGGAGTTGCGTCGGGCCGCCCTGGAGCGACACTTCCTGCTGGTGCCTCACTTCGCAAGCTTGTCTGGAGCTCAGATCAGAGGGCTCTGAGGGAGGACACAATAGTGCATCGCCGCCGGGTTTTACTCTCCAGCACCATCTTACATCACTTACCATGGCTCGCGACGTGACCTTGGTCATGACTCGGATCAGCGCCGAAGAGCGTCCTCTGGGACCCATTCCGTCTGCCTCTTTAATCCGCCGCTCCCCCACCCGCTGCTCCCGATCCCCACGGCGTTAGTTGCTCGCCACGAGTCGGGGGCGTCGAACACGGGCGATGAGGATCAGGTCAGTCGAAAAGGGGGGACCAAAGGTAACCTTAACCATGAAGGAACTACACCAAGCAGTGTTATGACATTATCTTGTTTTAGTGTTGTTGCACGTTGTGTTCGTAACGCAGTGTGTGTGTGTGTGGTTACCTTGTGTGGCTTACATTGTGTGGCTTACCTTGTGTTGTTGAAGCTATGTACTCTACCGTGTGTTGCTTACATTGGGTGTTCTACATTGTGTTGTTCACGTTGTGTTTCCAACGTCGTGGTTTACACCCTGTGCTGAGTACAATGTGCCATTCACTGTGTTTGTGTTCGAGCAGGGACTCCTACGTTGTGGTTTCTTTGGTGCGTATGTTACGCTGCCTTGGTTACGGTGCGTTGTTATCTCAGTCTGGGTTCCTTACGGTGTTCGTTGTGCTGATGTTTCCTACGTTGTGGTTTATATGAATGTATTGCTACGTTGTAGGTTCGACGGTGTGGTCTAACGCTTGTGTTTGTAGCGATGTGTTGGTTCACGATGTGTTGTGTACCTTGTGGTGCTTACGGTATAGTGTGTACGCTGTCTTGTTTCCTGCATTATCTCGATTGGTGATTATTGCGATGTGTGTATATTTGCTGGTAGTTCTTACGTTGTGTTTCGCTGATGTTCGTGCTACGTTGTTTTTCCACAACGTGTATGCTACGCTGCGTGTTTCAACGTTATGTCACTTGGGTGTGCATGCCTTGTGTTGCTTGCAGTGTAGTGTTTACGCCGTGGTGTTTACGTTGCGGTGCCATGATGTTATTGAGTCACGTTGGTTTCTGCGACGTTTCACGTTGTGGTGTTAACGTTGTGTGGTTCAACGTTGTGGGGTGACGTTTCGCTTCAAAGGTTCGTGGTCTAGCTTGCGTGGTTGACGTGTGTATTACATTATGTCCTACGTTGAATGTCCTCGCCGTGTTTCCTACGTTGCGTTTTAGATTGTGGTTTCTACGTTGTGTTCTCTTCGTTGCGTTTTGTACGTTGCGTTTGTACGTTCTGTAGTGTACGCTAATTGGATGTCAGTATTTGCTTTCTACGTTGTGCTTTCTACGTAGTTTGCTCGCCGCTGCTGTGTCTCTGTTCTGTTTTCACTGTGTGCTGCCTACGCTGTGTCTATCTCGTATTTGTAGTTGCGTGTCCAGTTGTGTGTCCTACGTTCTGAGGTCTTTTTTATACGTTGCGTGTTCTTACGCTGTGTGTGTTTTATGTCGTGTTTGTTTAATGCCATGGTGTTCGATGTCTTCTCTCTCTATGCATTATCTCGTGTTTTTCTTGCTGGTATCCTACGTCGTGGTTTCTATTGTGTGTTTGCATTTTCAAAATTGCACTGCCGCGTTGCATTTTCCACGCGGTGTTTCCCACGTGTTGTGTATTTTTCCACAGTGTTTGTACGTAGCGCTTTCATACTGTAGTCTCTTACGGTTTCTAATGTGGCTAGCTCGCGCAGTGCCAGAAGCCGCTTCAAACAAAATGCCGAACGGTTTCGAAGTTGCACGGCCGTGTGGTGTTGTCGACGTTGTTGCTTTCACGTTGTGCGTTTAAGTTGTGTTTTCTTTTGACGTGGTGCTTTGATATTGTATTCTCGTATGGTTTATACTGTGGCTTGTTCGTGCGGCGAGAGGGTCCGCAACAAAAGCTGTCATGTTCAAGCATCCGGATTACAACTTTTTAGGGTTGCAGTGCCATATGGCGTTTTTTTTGCGTTTTTTTTTTGTTTGTTCTCATCCCCCTTCCAACTCGCGCTCTCCTTCGCCTTCTTGCCTCAATTCGCTTCCAGTGCACCCCACCGCTTGCTTGACTGGCGTCTGATTGTCTTGGACCACTTGGCTCCCGCGACTTACGCTGCTTTTGTCACGTTGTGTTGTGCACGATTTTTAATAGGCTGTGTTTGCTACACTGTGTTTTCAACGTGGTGTTTCAAGTGTCCTTTTTAAGTTATGTGTTTTGGCGTAGTGTAGTGTTTACGTAGTGCTTGTTACATCGCGATTCTGTATTTGGTGCTAGTTCTACGCGGTGCCGTCCCCCCCACAGTTCTCTGGAGGCCTTGGAGAGCCCAGCGTCATTATCAGCATGATCAGCATGACTGTGTTCTTCGTCATTGCCATCATCATCCGAAACCACAGCGTAGCACACACAGCGAAGCAACAACAGCTTAAACCACACAGCGCCAAACACCAAGCGTAGAAACGCAACATCCAAAAACGGCGTAGAAACCACAATGTGGAACAAGACACAGCGTAAGCAGCCACCTTTGCCGATCGGCGCGGGCCTTCCCTCCTCCCCCTTGGAGTATATCTGAGATATTTTTGGCGCCTGTCTCAAGCAGGTGGAGCCTCCCTCATAGGATGCACTGCTGCAGACAGTCGCATTCAGCAGTGGTCCGGAGCCAGAACCCCCCACACACACCCACACCTTTCCGCCCAATGTCGAAACGCCGAAAAAGAAAACGTTCACTTGTAGACAACATAACGTACAACACAGCGTAACAGATCACAGTGTAGAACAAACAACATCAAAAACACATTGTAGAGCATCCAACCAAGAACACAACGTACAACAATAGCGTATGAAGCACATCTCAAACAAAGGCACAGTGTTGAAATAACCGCAAACACCATACTGCGCAGAAACACCGTACAAGCTACAGCGTAGACAGCACAACGGAACAACACCAGCGTAGAAACACACCAACGCAAAAGCAACGTGAAAAACACCGCGTAGCCAAACACAGTGGACACCACAGCGTAAAGCACACAGCGTAGAAAACACAGCGTTCAAACCACAGCGAAACAAAGCAGCACAGCGTAGAAGGCACAGCGTAACAAACACAGCGTTGAACAACATCACAGCGTGAAACACATTGTAACGAACACAGTGGTCGCAACACAGCGTAGAACATACAACGTAAACAACACAGCGTACTACAACACAAAGTTGACACCACAGCGTACAACACGACACCATAATATGAAACACACAGCGTAGATATCACAACGGGGAGATGCACAGCGTCGAACACGAAACAAAAGAACACACGTTTTTAAACATACAGCGTAACCAACACATGTTAACATCACACAGCGTAGACATCACAGCGTAAAACAACAGCGTACAACGAACACACAGCGCATACAACACATTGCATTACACAGGGCAGCGTACAGCACAGCGTAACAAACAGCTCAGCGCAAACACAGAGTAACACATCCTCACATCGTAAAAGCAGCGTGCAACATCACAACGTAGCACATGCAGCGTATACAAGACACCATAATCAAACACAGCGCAGCAAGCATACCACAGAAAATGCAACGTGAAACACACAGCGTAATCAGCACAGCGTACACAAGCACCAGTATAACCAAAGCAGACAAGCCGCAGCGTACAACAAACACAGCGTCACAAACACACCGCGTAAACAACAGCAGAAAACAATACACAGAGAGCAACACCACGTCGTAAAACTCAGTTAATTCACCGCTAACGCCAACTCTCGGGGGGATCGGCAAAAGGGGTTTTACGACATCTGCTGTGTGCAGCTGGTTTCAGCGCCGCCGCCTGACGCTTTCCTCTATGCCGCCAGGAGGCGCCAGAAAAATCAGCTGCTTGAGCTGGTTCGTTGATGAGCCCCCTCTTTGCCAATGCCCACCAATGCCCACCTTCCGTCCGGCCCGAGAGGACATAGAGGGGGTGAATATCGTTGCCGATGGAATGAAATTTGGTAGATCTGGAGATCTCAGCCAGGAGTCTGTCAGCATGCCACCAGGCGGACGCCCGGCAGCGCCAGCCTACTGCTTAGGAAAGATATAGTAAGATGTAATTGCAACCGTTATCATTGCTTGGGGAAAATTGGCCGCTTGTCAGTCCCAGCCAATCTGCAGTCAAGACGCTAGAACACGGAACAGTTTGTGTCCGGAAGGGGCCCGATGTTCCATAGGTTTTTCCATGGTTGTTTCTCTAGCCACCTTCGTGCACGCACGTAGGCGCTAAGGCAGACTGCACTCTTGCTGTTTCCGCAGATACGTCTCCCACTATTTTGCGTAAGCGTGAGAGGCCGAAAGGACACATGTTCAAAGCCGCGGCGATGCCGAAGTAGAACAAGAGCCTGAATCCTCATGACCCTCCTTGAATGGCCATGTCACCCCCTCGGCTTCTTCTTCTTTCCCTCCTATTCCTCATTCTCATCCTCGTCGCCTTCCTCCTCCTTGCCATCCTCCTCTCTTCCTCCCATCTTTCCCTTTGCGCCGCCTTCCTCGATCTCCTCATCTCCCCCCTCCTCCATGCCCTCCTCCACCTCCTCAAGCCATCGTCCTCATCCGCCTCCTGGCCCACCTCCATTCCTCACTCCTTCCTCTTTTCTCCTTCAAAGACTTCCACTGCAACTGTCCTGGGGCTCGGTCTGGCCTAAAACGGGCGACGCGTGCACAGAATCCTACGCAAACGAACCGGGAGGCCCAAAACGTTTCGGCGCGACACGCTAAGTATGCCCCAGTCTCCAATCATCTCCGTTCCCAGTTTTTTCCCCAGCCTGTCGTCCAACGGAGCAGAGCGGCATGCCATCAGCTTGCAAGGCATCGTGTGTTGCATGGGCCGCCGCCACGACACGCTTAGCAAAATTTCCAGACCGTACTATAGATCCTCTAAGCCTCGATTCGATTCAAAGATAGTCCAAATCCCCCTCCACTCGGAGCGACATGGGCGCACCATGGTCCTGCAACAACGGACGCCGCCGCCTCCCCGACGCCCGCTGCCGCCGAGAGGCCCTCAAGCACTACCGCAAGGCTGGGCCGGCCCGCCCTGCCTTCCAGCCCTCACATCCAGGCGTCGCAGACAGACTGCGACGACTGGCTCTTCTACGTTTCCGGCCTCCGTGGAGGTTCCTTCCGAGCCCCAGGACTGTCGCAGAACGAACCGGGATGACAAGGTGGAAGAGACCGAGATCCCCGGAGCCAACGTCGCGAAACAACTGAGCCGTCGTTGGATGGGGAGCCGCGCGGAGCCTGCAGATCGGCACACCTCCGCTCGTTCTCCTGACCCCCCCCCCGCCCGGACTCGGGGCCTCCCAAGCGGAGGCCCGAGCAGACGGGGTCGGAGGATCGCGCCCCATCGACAGAATTGAGAAATTTCGAAGGCGGCTCGATGTGGAGCTCGATTGTCTTCATGCCGCCGTCGCCGATGCCTCACGGATGCATCGGCGATGCGTCGGCGAGGCGGCACGAGCCTCCGACCCCACCTTCTCGGACTCCGAGGCCTAGATCATATCCTCCTGCAGCCCCCTCCCCAGGCACGCATCCGATGTCGTGGTTTTTGCCGGGCCCCCTGAAGTCCCGATTCTTTTCCCCGGAGCCAGCATGTCGCCCCGAGCCGCTCTTAGGCGGCCTTGGAGGCCCAGCCTTTGAAAGCCGAAACCATAGAAAACGAATCGCCTCGATCTGGATCAGATGCTGGTTGTCTGGGTCCACCTCCCCGTGCGTGCGTGTTGAGATTCTGTGATCGCCCTCCCAAACATTTTCCCCGATTGCAGAGAACGATGTTTTTTGGGATCGGTCCTCTCGCTTGTTCCCTCGATCTCCATCTCCACCTACTTACACCCAGGAGCTCACCCCGGGTGCACGGGTTTGGCCGGGCTTCCTTCGGGCATGGGTTTTCGGATGGACAGGCCCGCAGCAGCGTCAGCGCCGGTTGGGAGGACCCGTGTTGCTGCACGCGTCGAACAAACAGATCACGGGCGGTTTTCTTCTCAGTTTCCGCGGTTGTTCCCGGATCTCGGGGGCAAATACTGCAGGTCTATTGAGTGTTGTCCCGAAGTTCCGGGGGCCCGCGTCGTGACGAAGGATGTCGAAGGTCTGGGGAGGTGAAGGAAGGAGCGAGGAGGAGGAGGAGGGAGCGAGATCGGGCGCGCGGGCTCTCGCATCGGAGAGAAGGCGGGGCTGCCCCCTCCTCCGACGGGGCAGCTCTTTCCCAGCGTGGGCCCCCTCATGGACCTCGGCCTGGCCTCTCTCCGGGGAACCTCTCCTCATCTTGGGATCATGGGCCTTCAACTTGCCCTCAAAACCATACGCCAGCAAATCTCGGGGCCCGAATTCCGTCTGGGCTGAAGGCGCGAGGTGTCGAATGGTGCCTCCTGCTCGATTTGGGTCCCTCCCGGCTCCGACAACTCGCGCCCATACCTACAGCGCCTTCACCAGCTTGCTCGTTCCCCCCGTCTTCCACCGTCATAAATTTAAGTGCGCGCGTGTGTATGTGTGTGTGTGTTGTCATTCCATCGTGCAGGTTGTTTTCTGACGGCCCCCTGGAGGCGGTCCCCAGGAGGCCGAGGACGCACAGAAGAGCCAGCCGTCGCGATTTTCCGGCGGCGTCCCAGGATCTGAGGGCGCGTGGGGCAGGTGCAGCGCGCTGGGCGCCAGGGCGGCGGCAGCGGCGGCGAGGCCGAGGACGGCTCCGGCGGCGGCGTCGACGAGTTGACGACGACGACGACCTTGACGACGACCATGATCGCGTGCTCGATAACGGCGATGATGACGGCGGCGACACGACGGCGTTGTTGTGGTCGGCAATGGCGATAACGACGTACCCGGCGATGGCGATGACCACGATGACGATGTTTACGAATCGACAAAGGCGATGGCGACTACGTTCACGACCACGATGGCGATAGCCTGCCGGGCTTCCCCCCCCGCCCGCGCAGGCCCTGAAGTGCTTCAAGGACCCTTGCGCCTCTTCTCCTCTTCTTCTCCTTCTCCTCTTCATCCTTCTCCTCCTCCTTCCTCCTCCTCCGCTTCCCTGCGCCTCCATCCTCGTCCCTCCTCGTCCCTCCTCCCCTGCCCCCCTTCTCTTCCGCGTGCTCCTGGTCTTATTTCTTCTTGTCGGAAAGCCGTCTTAAGGCCAAACGTCGCCCGCGAACGGGAGTTCCCCTAAGCGGTGACGCCCAACGCGGCGAAAGGGATTGCCGCGTTTTCCGTCTGTACTCAAGTTGCTCTCGTTTCTTCGGCGGAGTTCATTGGGCTTGCGTCTCGTCCTCCTCCTCCTCCTCCTCCACTCCTCCTCCTCCTCCTCCTCCTCCTCCTCCTCCTCCTCCTCCTCCTCCTCCTCCTCTCTCCTCCCATCCTTGTCTCTGCTCTTCCCAGTCAGCGTCGTCATCATCAGCTGCATCATCAGCATCAATTACCATCATCATTATCATTATCTGCAGCTTTATAATTCAATTGCTTCGCTCATTCCGCCGGCCCTGGAGCGCTATTTGGGACCTCTTGGGGCCGTCTTGGGGGCCTCTTGGGGGCTTTTTGGGAGCGTCTTGGGGCTCCTTGGCGGCGTCTTGGGCTCCCCTGGGGCCTCTTAGGGGGCTCTTGGGGGCCCCTTGGGGCGGGAGGGGGGGTAGTCGATTGCAGCCACCCCCTCGTAGGCCACGATCCTCGTGAGGGGTGGCGAAAAATCGCCTCCCCCCTGGGGATCGCCCAGGACCCGGCCGGGACCCGGCTGGGGGTCAGCCCGGGTATTTTTCGTCCGGGGGCCCCCAGGGGCCGCCCCGCGCGCGCGAATTAGAATATTGGTAAGTAGTCACTGGAGATCTTAGCACGCCTCTGGCCCATTGGGCCGGCGAATTTGCAGAATCATCTTCATGATCACTCCATCATCATAATCATCATCGCCATCAGCATCATCATCAGCAGCAGCATCAACTGTCAGCATCAACAACCGCAACAGTATCATCATCAGCATCATCGACATTATCAGCATCATCACCATCATCCTCAGCATCAGCACCATCATCCTCAGCATCGTTGTCGTCGCAATCATCCTTGTCCTCCTCCTCATCATCATCGCCATCATCATCATCATCATCATCAGCATCAGCATCATCATCATCATCAACAACATCATCAGCATCGTTATCGTTATCATCACCCTTTCCATCATCAGCATCAGCATCATCAGCATCAACAGCAGCATCATCGCCATCAACATCAGCAGCATCATCATTAGCAGCATCATTACCATGATCAGAAGGACCATCTTCACCATCATCGCCATCAGCAATAACATCATTATCATCAGCATCCTCATCATCACGGGGGACTGGGTCAGGGGGCCGGGGGCCGGGACCACTACCACAGATGTGGGGCCCGGCGCGCCGGGAGCCTTGCAGGAGCACCGGGGGCCGTCCAAGATCGCCCGAAGATGGCTTCGGAACGCTCGAAAACGCGCTCCGATGGCTCCGGATGCCTTTCAAGACGACTCCCATGACGCCAAGAAGGCCCCCGCAAGCCCCGAAGACGCCCGAAGAGGCACCCCGAGAAAGCCCCAATATGCAAAAATCGCAGATTTCCATCAGGGAAACTGATGTTTTTGGCGTGTTCTCCTTTTGGGCTTCCACTGCGTCCAAGACGGCCCAAGAGGCACCCAAGCCGGTCGAGGATGTCCCGAGGGCCCCAAGACGGCCCACGATGGGGGCCAAGACGGCCGCCCAAACCGCCCAAGAGCGCCCCCCAGTAGCCCAAGAGGCCTTTCCGGGGAGCCTCCACAGCACCCCAGGAGGGCCCAAGACGCCTCCCAGGAGCCCCTAGAATGTGAAAGGATGGTCCAAGACGCTCCCAAGCAGCCCAAGTCAGCCTTCCGACGGCTCTCGATGCTCCCAGGTGGCCTCCAAGAGACCCCAAGAGAGGTCCGAGAGGCGTCCCGGGACGGCCTGAAGAGGCCAACATCGTAGGTGTTCTATTGTTTTTCCAATGTTTTTGGCTTCTCGCGTTTTCGAGCTTACAATGATCCAAGAGCGCCGAAGAGGTTCCCGACCGAAGAGGCGCCCAGGACAGCCCTGCAGACCACCTCAGAACAGGCCCAAGAGCGGGAGCAGGAGGCTTCCAGAAACCTCCGAGAGGCCTCCGGGACCCACCAGAGGCCCCCACCACACACCCGATCCCTGAGAGGCCTCAAAAAGACCCCGACGAGGCTCCAAGAACAGCCCAAGAGAGCTGCTTCAGCCGTCCCCCGAGAGAAACCAAAAAGTAAAAACGTCGTTGTCCAATGGTTTTTCTAATGTATTTCGCCTTCTTACTTCTTCCCGTTTCCATCCCTTGAAGATCGAGGATTTGTTGTGGAAGACATCCCCTGACATCTGCCTGGTACCGCGCCTCCCGGTTTCCTGGGGGGGGCCCAAGACGCCCAAGGACAGCCCAAGACGACCCCAAGGAGCCCCCAGAACGTAAAGAACGGCCCAACACGCTCCCGCGCAGCCCGAGACATCCTTACGACGGCTCTCCGGGCCTCCAGGAGGCCTCCCGAACCCCCAGGGGTCCGGAAGATCCCACCCCCCTGATCGGCCCGGCTAACAAAACCCGCGAGGTACAAACCAAAAACAGCGCCGAACAGCGCTGAGAAACTGGAAAAAATGGGAATCCCACAATTCCTTTTTTTTCTCAAGTTTGGCCCCTGGTCTTTCTTTGACAACAGACCACAATTCAGACCCCCTCACCTCCCCCAAAAAACAGGAGGCCTTTGAGGGCCCCAAATCGTTGAATACTTAAATGAAAGTAATGGTTTCTATGTTTCCGCACTTCCACCTCTATACGATTCCATGGCTTGCGCAGGGCCTCTACGGGAGTCCCTGCACGCGAGAAGCGACCAACATGATATTACGTGAGTTGGCCGATCAAGTCCAGCTAGAATTTGAGCGCGCGCGAAGCGCGCGCGATGGTTCTAGTATCAGAATGTTCGACATCAGCATCAGCAGTATCATCATCATGCGCGCAAGCATCATTACCAGCATCGACACCATCATCAGCGACATTGCCATCCTTATCCTTATCAGCGTCATCATTATAATGAGCATCATCGCCAGCACCATCATTTTCATCTCCATCATCACAATCACCACCATCATCGTCATCACCATCAGCATCAACATTACCATCAGCAACGCCATCAACATCATCAACATAATCATCATCACAACCATCATCATCATCATCATCATCGTCATCATCATCATCATCATCATCATAATCCTCGTCATCAGCAGCATCATCAGCACGATCATCATCATCTGAACCATCATCTTCATCAGCATCGTCAGCATCATCATGATCATCATCAACAACATCAGCATCATCAGCATCGTCATCATCAACATCATCATCATCATCATCATCATCATCATCATCATCATCATCATTATCATTATCATTATCATTATCATTGTCATCATCATCGCAATCGCCATCCGCTTCGGCACACCCCTCACACGGATCGTGGTTCCATAGAGCGTTCCGCCAAAGGTTTCAGGGGCGCCGCCCGCATGCGTTCGACACACCCATTTCAGCACACCTCTCACGAGGATCGTGGCCCCATAGGGCGCTCCACCGAAGGTCCCAGGGGCGCTGTTCGCATGCGTCCGACCCATTTCGGCACACCGCTCACACGTTTCGTGGCCTCACAGGGTGCTCCACTGCTGGTCCCAGTGGCGCCGCTCGCATGCGTCCGACCCACCACTTTCGGCACACCGCTCACATTTTTGGTGGCCTCAGAGGGTGCTCCACTTCTGGTCCAAGTGGCGCCGCCGGCATGCACCCGACCCACCAATTTCGGCACACCCTTGACGAGGATCGTGGCCCCAAAGGTGGCTCCATCGCCCAGGGGCGCTGCCCGCATGCGTCCGACGCACCCATGTCTGCACACCTCTCACGAGGATCGCGGTCCCATAGGGCGCTCCGCCGAAGGTCTCAGGGGCGCCGTTCGCATACGTCCGACCCACCAATGTCGGCGTACCGCTTACACGTTTCGTGGCCTCACAGGGTGCTCCACTGCTGGTCCCAGTGGCGCCGCTCGCATGCGTCCGACCCACCACTTTCGGCACACCATTCACATTTTTCGTGGCCTCAATGGGTGCTCCACCGCGGGTTGGTCCCATTGGCACCGCTGGCATGCGTCCGATCCACCAATGATGGCACACCCCTCACGAGGATCGCGGCCCCAAAGGGCGCTCCATCGCCCAGGGCCCGCCCGCATGCGCCCACCCCACCTACTTCGGCACACCTCTCACGAGGATCGTGGCCCCGTAGTGCGCTCCACCGAATGTCCAAGGGGCGCCGTTCGCATACGTCCGACCCATTTCGGCACACCGCTCGCACGTTTCGTTGTCTCATTGGGTGCTCCACCGCTGGTCCCAGTGGCGACGCCCGCATGCGTCCGACCAACCAGTTTCGGCACACCCCTCACGAGGATCGTGGCCCAAAAGGGGGCTCCATCGCCCAGGGGCGCTGCCCGCATGCGTCCGACCCACCCATGTCGGCACACCTCTTACGCGGATCGTGGCCCCATAGGGCGCTCCACCGAAGGTCCCAGGGGCGCCGTTCGCATATATCCGCCGAAGGTTCCAGGGGCGCCGCACGCATGCGTTCGACCCATCAATTTTGGCACACCCCTCAAACGTTTCGCGGCCCCACAAGGGAGCTTCGCCGAAGGTCCCTGCGGCCGTCCTCGCGTGCGCCTCCCCGCCGTTTTCGGCACGCCCCTCACACGTTTCGCGTCCCCATAAGGAGCTCCACCGAGGGTGACAGCGGTCGTCATCGCATGCCTCCACCCCACAGCCCGCATGCGGTACCCGCCCCATGTTGGCACACCCCTCACGCGGTTCGCCCGTGTCACGCAGTTCGCGGCCCCATAGAGGGTCCCCCCTCGATCGTCCCGCTTGCCCCGCGGTTCTCACAATTGCATATTGTTGGTTCCTTCGCCTGGATAGTTTCCGCGCTCGTCCTTGTTCTCCTCTTCCTTGTTCGTCGTCTTGCTTTGTGTCATCGCCCCTCGAATGTGTTTCTACGCGTCCAGATTGTGCAAGATGAACACTGCCTGCTCACCCCCTGGCGTTCACTTGCCGATCGTCCGCTCTCCGGGTGATTTCCTCGATCCTCCCTTCTGCCCCCACCCCGTCCGCACAGCCCGCAAGGAGTCGCACAAGCTCTTCTGCAAGACGGGGGGGGCCAACAGTCCGCTGACCGGGTCGGAGGCTGCTTCCCCCGACCTTTCTGTGTGGGCACGCGCGTCGTCCAGTTGTTGCTTTCTTCTCTGCGTGTCTCAGCAGGGTATATGTTTGCCTCTTCAGGGTCCATCTTGATCAGATCGATCCGATTCGACATCGATTTCTGTCGGTTCTACCCAGTTCAGCTCCGATGCTCAGACGCCCGATGCTTGGCGTGGTGTGCGTGGTGTGCATCCTGGCGCTGCCGATGCGATGCGATTTCAACACCGTGCCAAATGCAGCCCGATCCCGCGCGCATTCCGTTTCCACCCGAGTTTCCGATTCGAGGTTGATGTGTTTTGCTTCTCGTATCCGTCCTTCCTTTCGTCTCGCCGTGGTCCCTCCCTTGTTTGACTTATCCGCGCTTCCGTCTCCCGACCTATCCTTCCTCGACCTTGCTCGCCCTTTGTCCTTCTCTCCATCTCTTGTCGTCTTAGTCGCCGTCGTCTGTCCTGCCCTGTCGTCCTGATCCTCGTCCTCGTCCTCCCTCCCCTCCTTGTCCTCCCCCTCTGCCCACCACCGCCTCCTCGTTGTCCATGTTGTGGTTGTCGTCGCCGTCCTATTATTCGGCTTCGTCGTCCTCCCCATCACCTTCATCTTCTTTCTCCCCCTCTTCTCGTCATCATCCTCATTTCTTTTTCCCCGTGCCCTTCAAGTTATTCTCCAGCAGCCTCCTCCTCCTCCTCCTCCTCCTCCTCCTCCTCCTCCTCCTCCTCCTCCTCTCCTCCTCCTCCTCCTCCTCCTCCTCCTCCTCCTCCTCCTCCTCCTCCTCCTCCTCTCCTCCTCCTCCTCCCCCTTCCTGTTCTTTGCTGCTCTTCCTCCCCTCGCTCTCCCGCCCCCCCCTTCTCCCTACCTCCTTTCTCCTCGCTACTCTCCCGCCCCCCTCCCTCTCCAAAGGGGGAGCGATAATAGAAACGATTCCAACCACTTCGGACCCTTCACGAACCACTTCGGGCCGATTACAGCCACTGGATGCGGACTGGTCGCAACGTGTAGGAATCCGATTGTAATCCTACAAGGCGAACGCCGTATCTCAGAAGCTAGCTTCAGCCCAGCGCTAGGCGGACTCCTGCGAGTTCTTGAGGATCCCTGGCAGTTTTTTCAGGATTCCTGAAGGGTTCTTGCGGATTGAGAGGGCCTCACGGCCGATGTCGCCGACCCTGAAGCACATCGACGACCAGCAGGAGGAGAAGGAGGAGAACGAGGAGGAAGAGGAGGAGGAGGAGGAGGAGGTCTTTTGGAGTGTTCCACGGGCGCGCTCTCTCACACTGCCGAGACTGAGTTTCGGGTTGGATGCCTCATACTTCTGGCAGATATGTTGCCCGAGACGGCGCTGCGGCGGCTTTTGCCTGGCCCATTGGCCGCATTGACCGACCGACCTCTGCTGGGGCTCAGGATGCGCCGCCACCACGGTCCCGCGCAGCCCTCGCCGCGCGCCGAAGCTCACGAGCTCCTGCACCACTCCCAGGGCCCCCCCCCCCCCCCCTGAGGGGCCCAGACACGGCCGCTTAAACGATCCAAGTCGATGCACCTTTGATTCGCCGGCTGGGGCCTCGATCCCGCTGCCATTCGATCCGAGGGGCAAGCGTTTGCATGAACACAAGCTGTGGGAGCACCGCGCGGATTTTTTGGATCGGCGGTGGGCCCCTCTGGCGGCGACTACTCCGGCGCCGCCCCTGGGGCGCTCAGCGCGCCAGGGAGGGGGGAGAATTCCGTGCGGAGATACGATCGTTTTTCTTTACGCGGATTGTTTGTCGAATCGATTTGGTTGGGTTCACTGGCATCGGCGGACAGCCGGAGCGGGGCGCGGCGATTCGATTCTGTCTCTATTCTCGTCGATTTGTTGGCGTCCGAAACGTTAACGATCCGATCCGATTTTGCGGTTCGATTCAGCTCAGGTTTGCCAGGTGCAGTTGGGTTCGGACGCAGCGGTTGCAGCACGACAAAGAGGGATGCGCCAGCCGCGCGCGGAGTGATCGGGCACACCCAGCACCAGGTCTGGGCGGGCGATAACCTTCCACTGGGTGACGTCCGTTTTCACATCGGGGGCTTGGCCATGTCCGCCGAGGTGGGGTAGTACCCTCGAGTGATCTCGCGGAGCACTGGGTGTGGATGCCTTCCCGCTCCCCGAGGGCGGGAAGCATGTACACCGGGGCGCGTCCCATTGTTGGACACCCAGGTAGTCCCAAGGCTTGAAGCAGGCAAGACCCGGGAGATGACACTTGTTGTTCTGTTGCCAGGGCGTACAGTATTTCGTGAGCCAGGGCGCCAGGGCGTCGGTGGAGTCGTGCAGTAAGGTGGCACCTGTCCAGTCGCAGCAAGCCGTGCAGTAGTTTCAGAATGGCGCTAGCCAGGACCTTTTATCTTTGCGACGACAGCATGCTGCACCTCTTGCAGATGTGACAACATACCTGACGGCGTTCGTATGCCAGGTCGGTCAAAGACGTGCCCCCCCTCCCCCAGCTGGCAGGAAAGGACGGTGGCGGATGATCGGTGGAGCCTCCTTCTGTTCCTCCTCCTCCTCCTTCTTCTCCTCCTCCTCCTCCTCCTCATCTTCATTGAATCATCCCCCACCTCCGCACCCAAGGGACGGGAGGGCCCAAGGGGGGGCGGGGGGCGACGCAGACTGGGGGAAAAGCCGTTGTTCCCTCTTGGAGTCAAGGGCCACCACCACCCGGAGGGGGGCGGGGCACAGCAGGGTGTCTCATGTGATGATAGGTGCCAGTACTGAATTCAGCTGGCACGAGGGTTAAGAGCAAACTTATTAGCTTTGGATGGGGTACACTTGCGTCCTTCGTGTTTGAGTCCTCGCCATGGGGCCTTTTGCCTTCGGCGGCAAGGCTCGTGTTCTTGACCTGCGTTCTTGTGGGCACGCTTCGACTGTACACCCCAGGGTTCGTTTCTGAGTCTTTTCGTTGTCTGAGTCCACTCGGTTGCTGACCGGACCAAGGGTCGACCTCGTCGGGTGGCCGAGCGAGCTCAATTTCCAGCGTTCTGCCGCAGTCGAGCCTGTTCGACCGCGCGCTCGGAGGCCGACTGGGCTCAGCCGCCGAGTGTGATCAGACTGGGGCCCTTGGTACAGTCGGGTAGCTGAGGTGGCGGTGGTGGTGGTGTATAGCCGTCCGCGCTCTTTTGCGACAGACCCAGCACGCCCACGCCCCGCGAAAGCAGATGGTCCTTCGCTCCCAGGCCAGCGGTGCTGGCGGTGAGTTTGCCTCCATGCCCCAGATCTGCGTGGACGGCAACCTGGGGCCAATTGCTTCAGGGTAGCCTCGGATGGTGATGCATCGCTCCAGAGCGTTCTGGACCGCTCTCACAGCGTCCTTGAACGCTCTGGAGCGGCTTCGTCTTACTGATGAGGGACGTGCTGTGGACGCGGGCTGGCCGTTGGTGGCCCTTTTGGGGCCCCGCGCGCGTGCGCTCCGACCCCCCGCCCCCGCCCCCCACCCTTACCGTGAACCGTCTTGAGCGAAGCCGCCCGGCTTTCGCGCAGAAGACCGTCCCAGGCCGGCCGCATGCCGGCGGGCAGCGAGGGCCGATGGGCAGCAGCAGCAGCGGAGCGCCGCCGAGGGCCGCCGGGGCCGGCCCAAGGCCAGGGGTCCAGGGCTGGCGGCAGCAGGCGGCAGCAGGTGGCGGCGGCCCGCGGCGGGAGTCCGCCTTCCCCTCCTCCAGAGGCCCAGGCCGTGGCCTGGACGCTGATGAAGCTGGGCGAGGATGAGGACAGCCCTCCCGCTGCCGCTCGGTCCTTTCCTGCTCCTCGCGCTGCCCTCGGATCCGGGCGATGCTTCAGAGAGTCGCGGCGTGCCTGGCTTTCGGACGTGGTCGGCCCCGGGACGCCATCCTTCAGCTCCGGGACCGTCAAAAACGATTCAGGATGAACATCAGGCCACCAGGGAGAAGTCGAGATCCCGGAGGACCACGTCGCGAAAGAAAACGTCGTTGGAGGAGGGGGGCCCGGTCCTCCCTCTCTCTCTCGGAACCCTCTCTCCTGCCCGTGCAGTTGCGACGGTCCAGAGGCCCTGAGGTGGAGGCGCACGCAACACGGCGGCCATAGCCCTGCGGGGCGGAACCGATCCACGGAAGCTTCATTGGGAGCCCCGGCCTCCTCCACCTCCTCCTCCTCCTCATTCCTTCGTCTGGGGTCCCGCGGCCTGGCAGGTTCCTGGGCTCCTGAGGCCTGAGGAGCCGATCCACTCCGAGTTCGGCGGGCGGCGAGGGGGGTCCTGAGATGACCCGCGCCCCTTGCTGTCGTCGTCTTTCCTCATTTCCCTCGCCCTCCATCCCATGTTTGGGTGCCGCTGAAGAATCGAGAAGTTGACATCCGCCCCTTCCCATTGTTTCTCCCGCCTCCTCCTTCCTCCTTTCGCCCAGCTTCGAGTTCTGTTATTTTCTCTCAGGCGTAGGACCACGGGCGCGGCTTCATGCCCAAGCCACCGTCCAACACCGCATCCCAGCTTTCATCGCACATCGGCCCAGTCGCCGCATTATTTGTATGAATCAATTGTGGCATGGCCCTGATGCTTTTGCTTTCTGAGCTACGTCTATGTTGAGCCGCCATGGCGACGAACCAACCATTTGGGGCCAGCCTGCAAGCAGCTGCCGAAACAGGACTGATTGGACGCAGTGGCAACGATGCCACGTGCTGGCACATGCACACACCCACACACTTAGCACGATGATGAGGACCGACTGGAACCGCAGTAGCAATGGAAGCCATGAGGTACTTACAGTCGGAGGCATTTACACATCACTATGTCCAGTTGGTATTGTTGTCCAAACGTCGTTGTTAAAGGGTTGTGTTGCCAGTCAGGTAGGTTGCGAGCCCATCGGCTATACATATACGTAGATGTGTACGGACATTTTGTTGTTGCTCTCCCTCTCTCTCACCGCCTCTCTTTCCCCACATACATACACACATATAAATCTATATACATACATACAAACATACATACATACATACATACATACAGACAGACAGACAGACAGACAGACAGACAGACAGACAGACAGACAGACAGACAGACAGACAGACAGACATGCATGCATGCATGCATGCATGCATG